GCAGCGAGTTGCACGGTGTTTCGAACGCGTTCCACTGGTACAGTTACAATTTGCAGGGAATTTTGTTTGTACGGTTGGCCACGAGGCCACACTACCTCACAAACGGACATGTCCGTGACCAGCTCCTCGAGGTGGCTCCGTAACGTAACGTAACGTGACGTCACGAAACGTAACTCACCTTGCTGCACTCCCGTCCATGCCAGCAGCAGCGGCAGCAGCAGCAGCGGCAGCGATCTCCACATGGCGGCGCTCTCCACCCCGCCGGCCTACGTCATCACTGGCCGCCGCTCTGGCGCGGTCACTGCGGCCCGAGCGCGGCTCGGCCGAATTCCAGCACCGACTCCGGAGAGTCCGAGCCGACTCCTGCGTGACTCGGGCGCGAGAGACGACGCCGCGGCGCACTACGTACGCACTCCGTCACACGATGCCAGCACGCGAGAAACAGCACTGCAATTCCAGACGGAGGTCCGCGCCGCACCACCCTCCTCGGCGCTCCACAAGGTATGGCGACGACTTTCTCTGGGACGGCCCGCCTGGAAACCCCAATCTCGGCCAATCAGCGGGCGGCTCTCTGGCGCTCGGCCAATGACGGCCCGCGTTACAGCAGGTGTCCGTGGCTCGTGTGAACACGGTCAGCGCGGACGGCCGGCAGCAGCAGTTTGGCCAGAACAAACTGCCCGGCCGCGCCGCCAGGTACGCGAGCGCCCAGGCCAAAACGGGCGGAGCGCGTGTGCCGGCCGCTGTGGAACTCTGAGTGCCGACAATGGCCGACAGATGGCACAGACCACAACCTTGTCATGCACGCCGGCATGACGGCCAGGGGCACCTCTTTCGAGACTGACTGAGGGAGGTGGGGAGAGCGCAGGCCCATTCAAGCCTTGAGCGGTCCTTTGAGGCCTTTGAGACCAAGAGCCATCGGCTCGATTGGGGGCCCTCAACTGGGAGTTATTAATGGTGCTGGCACCTCAATGCATTGCTCGGGATAACGCAGCTATTGAAATTATTTTAGACATCACATCACCAAATGCGTGTGGTCGGTCGGAGCGTTGCGGCAAAAGTACGACAGCTGTTTCCAAACATTTAGTCATGTGCAGAAGGTAAAAGCGTTGGTTACAGCGTTGCTGTTGATAGCACTGTGCGAGGGCTTACAGCTGGCACCGCGCTCAGCAGAAGACATGCTTTTCATTGGCATGCCGCTAGGAAAGCGCATTACCGAATGCTGTCGGCCGGTCGTAGTGCGGCTTTGCCACGCCACAGCACCTTAAAAAACACACCATTAATCGTGCACGGACATTGCAACTGTGTTCATTCCATTGAACCGCAAAAAGGCTGTCCATTGGTGCCACAACACTGTTATTGGCTTAAGGAACCATTTCATTTCATGACCCCGTGCGTTTGATAGTTCTGTGGGAGGGGTATTAACTGGGACCATAACATCGCGATCGGCCGGAGGATCACATGTTACCGGTGCCCCCCCCCCCCCTTGACAGAGGATTAGAAAAAGCTAGCGTGTACCTGGAGTGAGGATTGGCTGAGTTGCGGCAATTTTTTATAAAGACGCATAACAATACAACAGCCGCTTGACAAAACAGCAGCCAGTTTACAATACGGAGCCATTTAACAACGCGACACCCGCGACACAAGTTGAAGTCGTGCTCCGAGAGTGTAACCTCATGCGTTTCATTAGTGTGGAAGCACTATCAGCTAGGACCTTAACACCTCGCTTAGAAGAACCATTTTATTGGCATTACCTCCGGCAGCGCATTACCTAATATGCAGCCCGGACCGTGCTAGCGAAGTTAAAAAAATGTTAATATTGGAAAATAATATTATATTATCGTAGAAAACAATATTATTTTATCTTAGAAAATAATATTATATCATCTTAGAAACTAACATTATACAACATTATATTAATATTAGAAAAATATTAATTAAAAGGGCTGTGTACTGGTTCCGTAACACCGCTCCCAGTCGAACTATTCCATTTTGTTGCTATGACCCCCTGCTACAGCAGAGACCCGCATAACTGAGCGCGGACGGCCTAACCTTGCGTGGTGACGAAGTTGCGGTAGCAATTTAAAGATGCCTACAGTTGCAGGTGGGAGGTTTGTACGTGTACATTTGGTAGCAGTGAGCAAGGGGTTAACAAACGACACCGTTACCCCTTGCTGGGAAGAATGGACGCACTGTATTAACATGACCCGATGACATCGCATCACCGAATGTGAGCGACCGGTCTCGCCGGGACTTAAGTGCCGGCAGCTCTTTACAGATACGTACAATCGTACCCAGAGAGTGCGACCGTGAGCATTCGATAATACTATGCGAGCGCTTTCGGCTGGCACCGGGGGCGTGGCCCTCAACAGAAGACGTCCATTTTGTTGGCATTACACTTGCTGAAAACCAAACATACTTAACATGTTTTTGTAACAATTGAATACTTACACAACTTATTAAAAAGCGCGTTACGTAGTGCGGGCGGCACATCGTAGTGTGGGTTGGCTAAGATAGTCAGTCCTTTACAAATACATGGCTTTAACAAGCGTTTCTTAAAAAACTGTCCGGACAGGATGCCACCGTTTGCATTTGATTGCACTGTGGGAGATCTATCGGTTAATAACGTAACATGGCGATCGGTCAGCGGTACCTAACCTATTGGCAGGATCGCACTATTTGCACTTAACACTCGCGGTACCCCACATTCGCACAGCCGTCACTCGTGGAACAAACTCACGTCGTCACTCACAGAACAAACTCACGTCGTCACTCAGAGAACAAACTCACGTCGTCACTCACAGGACAAATCCACGTCGTCACTCACAGAACAAACTCACGTCGTCACTCACAGGACAAACTCACGTCGTCACCCACAGGGCAACCTCACGTCTCTCACTCACGTCACTCACAGGACAAACTCACGTCGTCACTCACAGAACAAACTCACGTCGTCACTCAGAGAACAAACTCACGTCGTCACTCACAGGACAAATCCACGTCGTCACTCACAGAACAAACTCACGTCGTCACTCACAGGACAAACTCACGTCGTCACTCACAGGACAAACTCACGTCGTCACTCACAGAACAAATTCACGTCGTCACTCACTCACAGCTGTCACAGCATCACTCACAAACGACTCACAGAACAAACCGGAACTCGGGACAGGCAGGCTAATCGCGTCCGACGTCACGAAATGCTCACTCATCATATCTGACAGCACGAAGACGAATCAACAAACACTCACCGGTAGAAACACACGCAGCTCACCGGACATGGGTTTTGATGACCAACCTTTCCTTCCTTCACAGCGCAAGAAAACCTGGGCCTGGAGATATCCACTGACATGCACTGCCATCAGCACGTTGGTAACACTTGTATTGATTTTCCAAATCAACAGAGCCCTTGGCACTCCCCACCCATCATCATAGTTCTCGCCGCGTTGCATTACCAACAATATGCAACGGTGTACATTCTTCCGTTCTTTGACTATCGTGAAGCAGTTTATGACGGTATCTTGACAACCAGCGACACCCTCAGACTCAAAAGACAACACAGTGCAGCTAGACTAGTCACTGGCACACTCTGCAGTACACACTCGCTCACTATTGACCAATTTAGGATGGAGCACAACCAAGACACGAAGAGACACATGCAAACACTGGCACTGTCCACAACATCAACAACCAACACTACCTGCACTACCTGCATCACTACCGACACTACCTTACTGCCGTCATACCTGACACGAGCACACACAGGCAACAAGGCGTCCGCCATCAACGCCACCATACTCACACTGCCTCCGAACGGAATCGCAACATACCAAAGCGTCTGCATGCCACACTAAACACAAGTCACGGAATTAACTCTCGCTCGAGGCGACATGCCTCTTGTGTTTCCGGTCTTTCAACGGGAGATATACCAGCACTACGTTTCCGCTGGAGCCCAATGTATCACAGCTTTGGATCCAAACTTGGGAATATTTCAAATGTTAGCCTGACGACGAAAGCAGCAAAACTCGACGCGCGCACGTTGAAATGCAAAATCTAACAACACCTGGTCCCCACTGCTTGTGTTCAGCGCTTACTTTGTGCTCAATGCACGTGTGCACTACAGATCGTGTGTCATATAACTTCGTCTGCTGTTCTTGTTCTTCTTTTGCAGGCAAAATAATTGCCCACAGACGACGCTTGTTGTAACCGATCATTTACCGTGGTGTCAGCTCCACAGGGGCTGACGCTGTCCACCGTTCCTTCCTCCCACATGCGAAGAATGAAGCAAAAATGCATATAATGTGGTAAATGTATTTCGTTTCCCATACAAACCATTACGTAACACGCACAGCCACAGACTCATCGATTGTGCACGCCTAATGCTACTAACGATTTATAAATCCAACAATGTGCACATGTTACGCTGTGATATAAAAATAGAAACAACCCAACATTAAGCACATTGTATAGAATATGTCGATCACTAACGGCCAATTTACAGCTTAGGTTAATATAAAACAGTGTTAAATTCCCAGAATACCACTTGTCAATGCTACAAAATGGCAATGCCGCCAATTCTGTACGACAAATCATGAATGTAAAGACGCACTTGCAATGAGATTGGTTATCACACCGCATCAGCACACACGATTCGCGGTTCATATCAGGTGGTGAGGCTCCAATTGGCTGCGCACAGCCCGCCGATCAGTCTCATTGGCTCCGTATCTGCCCACTAAACCTGATTGGCGCTGCGGCCCACCCGCTTGCCGCGTATTGGCTGCAGGCAACCGGCGGCGTGATCTGATTGGCTATTGCGGGCGGCCGCCTCGTCGCTGATTGGCTCGATAGCAGCGGCTCGACTCGGGCGCCGAGCGCCGACCGCGGCGGCAGGCACAGTTGGCAGGGTGACCGCCGCTGCGGCGGCGGCGGCTGCGGCTGCGGGGCTGGACCGGACCAGGAGCGGAGGCGGGCGGGTCGGCGGGGGCGGGAGAGGCGGCGGCGGCAGGAGCGGGGGCGGATGCCCGCGGGCACGGTCTGTCGGTAAGGTAGCGCGGCTGCAGGCACAGCCATCGCATGGTGCACGACTTCGTCGCTGTTTGTACCGGAACAACGGGCACTGGGGCGCCGCACGGGACATGGCTGGACAGTGACACCAGTGTCGTGTAATGTGGGAACCTCGTGAAAGGCGGCGTGGCCACCGGCCTCGTGACCTTACGAAACAGGGCTCAAACACGAGCACGACACCAACACGTGACACCATCACCTACATGTCCGCAAGACGTACCACCACCGTTATTGTTATGCCAATATCAACGGTACCTCGATCCAGGTGAACACAGTACTGAAACGGCCATCGTCGGCGCGACACTGAATGGCCCGGAGCACTTATCGCCCGGTTCATGGACTAGTGACGCATCATGGGGAGAGTATTATCTATAGTTCACAACATACGTAGTGTAATATCCTAATTATAGCCAAACCCCTTCCAGGAGGAAGTCCACAAGATCCAGAGCTACTCGCGGTAGAGAGGCCGTGTACATCAGTCTCGTCAATTGCGTTTGATCAACCACTCACATCGCCACACGCCAGAGCCTCTCACGCCGCCGTAGAAGCTGGGCACTTAACGGTCTTTACCCGTAACGCCTTCTACAGCTAAGCCCGCTGCACCGTACAGTCCCTCCGCTACTGAAAATATGTGGGGCGGTAGTTCGATACTCTCCCGCCACTCTGCCAACACCAGGCACGTGGTCAGTGGCACGGAATGGACCTTCGCTACGCCTCCCTACATATCCCGGATGACCGCTATCTTCCTGTCCCACTATCGCTGTCCGCTACCGGCCTTTCTCCGCGGTCAGAGTGTCGGGGCCTCGAGGCGAGCCAATCAGTTACCTCCGCCAAAGGCGGCGTCTCCCTACGAGGGGTCACAGCTGGAGCGGTGCTCCCGCCAGAGAACCCGTGCTCATCGCAGCGCTACATGGCCAACGCAGCTCTATACCCCGATCACAGACAGCAGCCAGCAGTCCAACTGAGTAAGTTCCCACTTCAGCAGCAGCAGCAGCAGCAGCAACCCCCCCCCCCCTCGCTACACCTCTCACATCTCTACCCAGCGCGGCTCGCTCCTCCCGCCGGCAGAGCTCACCCATCCGCTACGACGTCCACCCAGCGCACCTCACTCCTCCCACCTCGCCCCATCTCGCCGGCAGTCTCCCCATCCTCCGCGGCGTCCACCCAGCGTTCTCCGGCGCGGGCCGGCACCTGGCGCCAGCGCTGGCAGGGCCGGCCAGCTCACCTACTTCTCAGCGAACAGCGCGGCGATCTCGTCGGGGATGTTGTGCAGGCCGCACACCCGGTTCGCCGGCAGCGCCACGTCGATCTTCTTGGGGTAGGCCAGGTTGAGGCCGGCCATGATGGCGCAGAATTCCTGGCGCGAGCGGGTGAGTCGCGGGTTCAGGCGCTTCTCCTCGCCCACCGAGCTGGCCGTCTGACCTGGCGGCGGCCGGGGCACACGGTGAGGCTCAGGCTCAACCGCGGGACAGGCGTCCGGTCACACTACAGACCAGCCTGAGCCGCGGGACCGCGGTCACACTACGGGACTGAACCGATCCGGTCACAATACAGACCGGCCTGAGCCGCGGGACAGGCGCCCGGTCACACTACAGACCGGCCTGACCCGCGGGACAGGCGCCCGGTCACACTACAGACCAGCCTGAGCCACGGCACAGGCGTCTGGTCACACTACAGACCGGCCTGAGCCGCGGGACAGGCGTCCGGTCACACTACAGACCGGCCTGAGCCGCGGGACAGGCGTCCGGTCACACTACAGACCGGCCAGAGCCGCGGGACAGGCGTCCGGCCACACTACAGATCAACGACCGCCCGGTCGCAAGAGAACGTGAACCATTGTTTAACGTCGCCGTTCGGGTGTCCTGCCTGAGCTAATAAGAGCGCACGAATACGATACGCCTGCTGCTAAGTGAGCGTGGGGTGAACAGTACAGGACGTCACTGACTGTACACATGGGAGGGCGTGCTGCAATAACACGAGGCTGTAATTTAAAAAAAAAACGCGAGGGCTTACTTCAACAACGCGAAGGCGTGCCTCAATAACACGAGGCTGTGCTTCAATAACACGAGAGCGTACCTCGAAAAAGCGAGGGAGTTCTTCAATAACGCCGCACTGCGAAGCCAAGGCATTCACAATGCAAAACGTCAGCACCTACACTCACGCAACCCTCTGTGGTGCCCGCCCGCTAATTCAACACCTTCCCATCAACGCATGGCGTCAGTAGTTGAGCACAGCTGGCGGTGGGAGATAACGGGACAGGCAGCGACACGCGCAAGGTCTCGCGTCAGCCGGCGCGTGACGAGACGTGACGGCGTGACGCGACGGCGCGTGACAGCGCCAGCTCACCCTTGTAGTCGTGCGCCGGGTACACGGCGTAGTCCTCGGGCAGCGTGAAGATCCTCTGGTGCACCGAGTCGAACAGCGTGTCGCTGGAGCCGCCCTGCAACGGAGACACGCGGCCTCAGGCCCCAGCTGTGGAGGAGACACAACAGAGGCCCAACTAAGGAGACCGCTTCGCAGACACTGCAGCGAAAGCGTGAGCGGCACAACCAGTCACTGCTGTACATAGCGCTTAACAATGAGTCCGGGCCACCAAACACGTACAATGGCAACTCATTTTGATGCCAGTTCACGTCTCAGGAGGGTCGACCCGGTGGGCCGGACGGCGCCGCTCACCTGGAAGTCGGTCCGCCCGCAGCCCCGGATCAGCAGGGCGTCGCCGGTGAAGCACATCCGCTGCGAGTGCAGCACGTACGTCACGCAGCCTGCGGCGCGGCGGAGCACGGTCACAGACGTGATACTGCGAGGGTGGACACGTCACGTGGTCTGGAGCACGGCAGGGGGCGGTGACAGATGTGATACTGCGAGGGTGGATACGTCACGCAGCCTGCGGCGCACAGTCACAGACGTGATACTGTGAGGGTGGATACGTCACGCAGCCTGCGGCGCACAGTCACAGACGTGATACTGCGAGGGTGGACACGTCACGCAGCCTGCGGCGCACAGTCACAGACGTGATACTGCGAGGGTGGACACGCCACGCAGCCTGCGGCGCGGCGGAGCACAGTCACAGACGTGATACTGTGAGGGTGGACACGCCACGTGGTCTGGAGCACGGCAGGGGGCGGTGACAGATGTGATACTGCGAGGGTGGAAACGTCACGCAGCATGCGGCGCGGCGGAGCACGGTCACAGACGTGACACTGTGAGGGTGGACACGTCACGTGGTCTGGAGCACGGCAGGGGAGGTGACAGATGTGATACTGCGAGGGGAGACGAGTCATGTGGCCTGGAGCACGGCAAGGGGCGGTGACAGATGTGATACTGCTAGGCTACGATTGGTTCCACTTGAGGCTGACAGTGAAGCACTTTGCACATCAAGAAACATTGTGAACAGCGCAGCCAGCTGACAGATCTGATGCTGTTAGAGGAACATGCACAGCACATGGATTACGGCACACAAGATCTGCATCAAACATGACGCCCAAACAACTGCACTCACATTTACCCAGCATCAACCGCCATTCATTTACCCACATCAACCGTCATTCCAGCTCACCTATTTATGTTTACATTATATTACACTCACTGCACTATTTCGTCACTTTATTTCAGGCCTCCCTTTCACTTTTACCCACCATCCGCCACCTCTACCCCGCTTCTTCACCCTGTGTCCGCCTCCGGGCAGGTGACCCACCTTCGGTGTGGCCGGGCGTGGCACGCACCTCCGCCTCGGGGCAGGTGACCCACCTTCGGTGTGGCCGGGTGTGGCGCGCACCTCCGCCTCGGGGCAGGTGACCCACCTTCGGTGTGGCCGGGTGTGGCGCGCACCTCCGCCTCGGGGCAGGTGACCCACCTTCGGTGTGGCCGGGCGTGGTGCGCACCTCCAGCTCCAGTCCGCCGAACCGCACCGCGCCGCCATCCTCCAGCTTGACGTCCGCGTCGGCGCCGGCCGCCGCCGAGATGGCCGACCGGGCTCCCGGCACCAGCCGCTTCAGCCGGCCCGTGCCCGTGATGTGGTCCGCGTGCATGTGCGTGTTGACTGGCGGCAGGGCCGGGGGCGAGGTCAGGACACGGGTCCGGTGAGGAGTGGACAAATGTCCAGTAAGAAGTGGACACGACCCGGTTAGGAGTGGACACGAGTTCGGTGTGGAGTGGACACGGGCCCGGTGTGGAGTGGACACGGCCCAGTGAGGAGTGGACACGGCCTGGTGAGGAGTGGACACGGGTCCGGTGTGGAGTGGACACGGCCCGGTAAGGAGTGAGCACCGCCTAACAGATCTCCTTTTCTTGAGAAAGGAAACACGACGCACGTCACCGCGCAGCCAGTCAAGGAGGGCCAGCAACTGCAGAGGCCACATAAGCAATCAGGGGGCCAAGGCGCAACCGGGGTTAGATGCCGGGCCCCACGTGTAGGAGCCGAAAATGCGAACCACTCGGCGAACACGCCCCTCTGGGATAGGTCACTGGCTAGGGCATGGCTGGGTGCAAGGTCACTTAGGATGACCTAAGCGGGCGCGTGGGTCACGTGGGTCTGCTACGACCCCGGGACCTGGAGAGGGTGCTGTCCTTCCAGTCACAGGTCAGGTCACAGGTCAGGATGTCCGGTCACGACAAGCAGCCACCACGGAGGGTGCGAGTTCGCTAAAGAGCAATCAGACGGCGTGTCCAGACAGGCACCGAGCACACCGGTGGTGAAGCCCGGTCAGCAGTGCGTATTCAGTTACTGTGGTAAAGAGCGCGGGTCGTTGGGAATATCACCATGAGGCACCAAATGTGTAACCCGACACCACACCAGCCACAGCATGACCTACACCAACGCTGGCAGTGCAGTGCGGACTCGAAAGCATACCAGTTTCAATGCTACCAGCTGTAAAAACCAGCACTGACACAGAAAAGCGACCAGAAGGCCACACAACGTGAACAGGTCTACTGACTGGCATAGACGAGTTTGAAGCCGAGGTCGCTGACCAGCTGGGCGTCCCGGTCGGAGAGCTCGATTACGGGGTCGATGATGACGGCCTCCTTGCTGGCCACATCCGCCAGCAGGTAGGTGTAAGTGCAGCTCTCCCTGTCGAACAGCTGACCGTGTCGGGCCGCACAGTCAGTGGTACAGGTCAGCTGGGGCTCATGCTGTACAGCCTCAGTCAGTGGTATGGGTCAGCTGGGGTTCTCGCTGTACAGCCTCAGTCAGTGGTATGGGTCAGCTGGGGTTCTCGCTGTACAGCCTCAGTCAGTGGTACAGGTCAGCTGGGACTCTAGCTGTGCAGCCCCAGTCAATGGTACAGGTCAGCTGGGGCTCTCACTGTACAGCCTCAGTCAGTGGTACAGGTCAGCTGGGACTCTAGCTGTGCAGCCTCAGTCAGTGGTACAGATCAGCTGGGGCTCTCACTGTACAGCCTCAGTCAGTGGTATGGGTCAGCTGGGGTTCTCGCTGTACAGCCTCAGTCAGTGGCACAGGTCAGCTGGGGCTCTCGCTGTACAGCCTCAGTCAGTGGTACAGGTCAGCCCAGAGATGGAAATGAGTATGAAGTGCACAGAGTTTGCACAATCACACAATTATGCAGTGTAGTAAAACACAGCACATCACGATGGGAAGGTATGTTACAGGTTACGGTAAACATGGGATATCAGGCACATAAACAAGACAAAATATGGGGCCTCACCACAGCCGAGGTGCTATAACACGGGACCAACAAATGGTGAGATCTCAACCATGCATAGAAAATGACAACATGTGGAAGGGTCAGCAACTGAAAATGCCGGCATCGACTGAAAATGCCAGCATCAAGCACCTTGTGATACAAAGGTTGATTTGGAAGACAACTCTCTTAGGCATCTCCATCTACCCCACTCTGCAAGACGTAGCGGTCATTTCCCGCTTTCGCAAACACTGCTGCTTGAAGAATATGTTAACTGGAATAACCATTGAGGGATACTACAAACAAAAGTTGCTGTCTCTATTTCTCACCTTGATTTCATCACAACTTCTCAGAATATTCTATGGCTCATTGGGTCCAATCTGCCATAGAATGACAAGAATGGGGGGGGGGGGGGGAGGGGAGACACTCCAGTTACACCACACCAGTGTAACATGTGGACAGCCAAGGAAAAGCAGCTTGCACCAGCTGCAACACTGGTGTTTGAATGCTAAAGAAAAAACATGCATGACTGTTCATGACCAAAATATGGAATGACAGAGAGGTGAGCCTTTGGCACCAACTGAATCAGTCAGCTTTGGCAGTTCATAGGAAGACTTCCACAAAACTAATTAAGACAGTATGTGGGAGGTATAGCAGGAATATGCTTTCTAACATATCATTCACCAAAGACAAATGACCATGATCTCACAAAAAGGCCACAAACCTGGCGGAAAAAGAAGTTCTTGGTCATTTTGTTTCAGTTTGGATCTTTCAGATTTATAATGTAACTGGGTGATTTCCTGTAACGAAGGCATACAGTGTGATACATCCATCCACACTCACATTGCAAAACATGACAGCCATTTGATAAACAGACATTGGTAATAGTGCCTATCACCCCATTGCTATTCCTATATGGAAAGTTCAAGTCAGGGGCTAAATTAAATTTGTATGGTAAATTACATGTACTAAAATATTGCCACAGTGAAAGCACTACCAAGTGATGCTTGCCTCCCAATAGGCATGGTAAGACCAAAACTTCGCTGAACTGATACACAGTATGGGAAGCTCCTAGAGAAAGGTGGATACCATAGAAATAAGGTGGATATTCTGAGAACTTATGCTTGTTACAAAATCATATTCTGGTAGTGCCAATACCCTCATGAGGGTTAGTTGATATTTTACCCATTTTAGGTGATTTTCACATTCTTAAATGACAAGCATACAGCTATGAGACAAACACACAGCACATAATTATTAAGGGAGCCACAAGAACTGATGCCAGATTAAACAGATATCCAGGTGATTAATTACACCACAATATCTAAATATGGTGGAATCAGACTCTGATTGTTTTTTCATGATTGCAGAGCACAGATATTTTCAACCCTACTGTACACATTTCTCCTATGAATGGAGCAAAACAGTACACAGCAAAAACCAAATCGTCCATTGTGCTGTGTGAGGCCTGTCAATTATCCAATGTTTTCACCTCAGTACCACCTCCATCTCATAATCAAGTACCTCACTCTTGCTATGTACTCAATTGGGTTTATCAAAGAGCTGCAGCACAACAATGGAGACTGATCACTTTTATTTTCTGGGCAGAAACAGTCTGATACCTGCACATGGTTCCATCATGCTGTTTCACTAGCAAAGGCCAGTCTAAGCTATCATAGGTCCTGGCCCCCCAGAAACCATTATTATACGTGATTTAGCACTGCAATCAATCACCATGCCATAGTATGGCATGGTGATTGACGAAACTCCAGTAAGTAATGCTAAGCATGCAGGTTCTTTCATGGTCTGGTACAATAAGGTAAGGGATGAAAAGCAAGAACATGCATTAAGGTGACCAAGACATGACTGTCACTCATGTTCATTCTATGCACAGTGGCATGGTAAAGAAATGCTAATTTTTCAAGAGATGAGGGCAACTGGATCAGGACTTTAGCACATCATCAGGGTCAGGGCTGACAAGGCACATACTGCTGAATAGAGGCTCTTCTGCAAGATATTAATAAACCCAAAATGTTCTGACAAATCCAACAAAACTATGACTGAGACCATACTCGCCAACCCTGTTTTGGTCGAACCTCATATTTGGGATTGATTTATCACTCACTTTCTACATTATATAAAAATAACATAGTCTATATCACACAAATCAGAATACTAATAGGATAAAAATAAGGCCAACTTAGTTTCACAGATAAGGGGTGCCACCATTTACATTCCAAGTTTAATTAACAAGTGGATGATTTGGTGAAAAACCTTGCCAAATCTGTCTCTGGAATACAATGCTACACAATCCGGTTATCAGCATTGCCATGGAAGGCGGGTATGCATATGCTTGGTATGGGTGCGACGATTTCGTCATTCTGCCCAACGCAACACGAAATCAGCTCAGCCAACACAAGACCAAAATTACGATACTGCATCCCGCACTTATGTCCAAGCTTCGCCCGGAATCCTAACACGCCTGAAAACCGACAAAGCCTCTAATAGGCAGAAAATGTACATCGAATATCCAACCTTATAAACCCAACGCTGCCCGACCTCACTCACGCAGGGTACCGACACAACCGTTTCAATTTCCCGATTACTTATGTCGTCAGCTCCCGGAGGAAAACATACCCAGCCTTCACCTCTTGTAACGCAAATTTAGACAGCTGATGCTCCTTTACCTAGAAGCTTTATCATGTAAAAGGCATCGAACCACCACAATATAAAACAATTTTAGACGATTAAATGAATAAAAATATATTTTCTCAATAACCATAAAAGTAAATATTCAACTTGCAATGGCTCCGCAAGATTTTGAACAGTCTGATGGTCTCAGCATACTTTCAGCTCGGTATCAGCTGAACAATTTTCTCTTTGGAGTGCCCCTAATTTTGTGAGCATTCTTCTGCGTGAGTTTTTACTGTTGAACGCATCCAGAGGGGGAGCGAGATGGTGTGTTGTGGGGATGTATTGACTGTGTTGCGCATCTTTTATAAACAAGGCGAAAAGTGAGCATTCAGTTTGGTGTTCTTGAAAAAGGTAAGTGCTCGACTTCGAAATGTTTTGTCCTCGCCATTTACGTTTGGTTCGATGCAATCAAGCTTGTTCGTGAAGATTGTGAGTGGTCATGCACATATTCCGCGACATTTGTGGTCCATCATGCTTGCAACGAAAACAATCAGCCTTTTTCAGGTCTTGTTGCACAAGATTTGCACAGTTAGCTTAATGTCATTATTTCATGGCACTGCATGAAACGTACACTGTTCAGACATATGGTTTTGCCAGCAAATGTTAAATTGGGGCTTGGTAAACAACATAGGTAGGTTGGTAGGTAGGGACCAACATGCAAACATGTGGCTATCTTGTAGGCTGTTAAGATCTGGAGCAGAACAGTTCTAAGAAAAGAAATCATTAGTGCTCCACAGGCATAAAAGTTGCTGTGTGCACATATTTCACTCCTTGTAAAACTTATGTTCTCTAGATCAGGGGACTGGTAGGTGCCTGGGTGGTGTCTGAGCTGTTCATATACTAAGGTGTGTGTGCATTATTAATTTTATATCAGACTTTGGTTACAGCAGCTCAACTGGTCACTTAGCTTCAGTTTTGGTCTTGTGCTTCATCAGAATCTTGGGCCCTTCTTGGTCATATCAAGTATACTTTGTATGCCAGATGGGATATTTTCTGGCCCATGGATAGCCACATGCTGGACACATGTATTTACATTGTCTATCCCAGTATTGTGTCAAAAGATCTAAACTAAGATTTCTGATATAATTGTATGAGATGTAAAAAGTTGTGATCAGATACTGATATAATTCTGCCCCTAAGTGCCTTACTTGATTTCATCCTAATTTAGGTTTACATGATACATGATTATTGAGGATGACAGAATGGGTAATTTTGATATACTTGGATAAGTGTCCATGCTTAGCTTAATGTGTTCAGCAGTCAAGCTTAAATGTTAAGTTAGATTTGATCTTATTTGGATGCTCAGTGCAGCAGTAGACTAGTTATTTAGAGGCTGCTTAAGTATAGAGGTATCTGAGATTGTGTATTCATAGGCTGCTAAAGCACAGCAGTATCTGGGCTATCTATCCTTAAAATACCATAATCCTCTGATATTGTCAATGATGATGCATACACAGCAAAATGAATGGATTTTTAAATATGAATAAGGCAATACAAAATATAATTTGCATAAATCAAACCTGCATAACATTTTATTAGTTATCTTGCTTTATAAACAGCTGAAATTCACTGAGAAATGATGATGATGTTGACTATTTGGGGGCAACCAGGGCAAAGTGCTCTGTTCTGTCTCACCTAACTGAGTCTTATTACTCTTTTAGCTTTTGATGGAAAAATATGAGAAGAGATGCTGTGAGATGTCTTGACATAAATATAACATGTTTAGACAATGTGCATCAGGAAGCTGTTACATGTGACATATTGGCATGCTGTAACCTGGTGTTCCAATATTTGGCCAGTTGGGTGGCATGGATATAGATATTTTTCATGCTAATTCACCCCAGCTTGGGACGCACTGCCTATTGGCCCTCCCCTTATTCAAAATCAGCCAAGCAGCATCGAACAGGGCAGCTGTGAATCCAGTATCTAAGCACCCCGGGCACGACAATCGGGCTTGGCAGGTCAGATAGCTGGGTTCAGCATCAAAGGCCAGTGGATTAGCACCAACAAATTGTGTGCTTGCTGCCAGAGAGCCAAGGTTCTGGTAGCATGAATTTATGTCTACAACCTGCACACCCTACTCCATGAATTTTGGAATACTGCTGCAATGAGCTCTGCTGATGCAGTAGAGTATCAGCTGACCCTGCGCCATCCGCAGGATGCTGTGCTACTGCGCCGGCGCGTGTCCGGACGGCGCCGTCAACAACACGTGCGTGGCGCCGCCCACCGCCTGGTGCTTCGCGGCCGTCAGCGAGGCGTGGGACGAGCGCAGCGGCCAGTTCGGTCCAGAGCGCACCTATGGCTGCCTCCAGCCCGACGAGACGGGCTACATGCAGGTGAGACAGGCACCGGACCAGGTGAGATGGGCTACATGCAGGTGAGATGGGCACCAGACCAGGTGACACTGGTTACATGCGGGTGAGATGGACGCTGGGGTCACCAGACCGGATGAGACCGGCTACGTGCAGGTGAGGTGGGCATTAGACTGCATGAAACTGGGTTCATGTGGGTTAGATGGATGCTGTGACAGTGGACTTGAAAAGCTAGGAGCTCATCGTGGATAGTCTAATAACACGTCTATGTCTACGTCTACGTGAGATAGACATCGGACCGCACCCCTGTACCCGATTTTTTCGGCTCAGCACAAGGCGCATGCATCAGCAGGATCCACTTCATTGTATCTTGCTTCCAACCTTGCACCAGTGTCTTGCTACCCATGTCTACTACACCCGTCCCGGAATCCCTCACGAAGCATCGCTGTCCCGTCCCGTCTCAAGCCACGTGCGCGAACGCGCGCAACTCACATGTTCCGTCAGAAATGGCGCGCGCGCGCGCACAGCGTGTCCACCAGCGAGCGCCGCAGTCGCTGTGGCGGCGCCGGGCCGCCTGCGCCCGGCGGCGCGGTCGGCACGGTCGGCGCTCTGACGCGGCGGCGCGCGCTTTCCAGTGCAAGAGCGCCAACAGCCCATTCGCGGTGCCGACGACCATCGAGTGCTGTCGCAATCGGAACCACTGCAACCGGGAGCTGCGGCCTATGTACGTGCGTCGGCCGGGCGACGGCGACCTGACCAGCGAGTACCTCGGGTGAGTGCCGCCGCACGGCCGGGTGTCTCTGGTCATTGCTGCTGCACGGCGCGGTGCTTCTGGTCAGCGCTGCTACACGGCGCGGTGCCTCCGGTCAGTACCGCCGCTGGGCTGAGTACCTCGGGTCAGTACTGCCACACGGCAGGGTACCTCTGGTCAGTACCGCCACACGGCGGGGTACCTCGGATCAGTACCGCCACACGGTGGGGTGTCCCTGGTCAGTGCCGCCGCACGGCCGGGTGTCTGGTCAGTGCTGCTACACGGGGGGTACCTCCGGTCAGTGCCGCCGCTGGGCTTAGTACCTCTGGTCAGTGCCGCCACTGGGCTGAGTACCTCGGATCAGTACTGCCACACGGCAGGGTACCTCTGGTCAGTGCCGCCACACGGCGTGGTGTCCCTGGTCAGTGCCGCCACTGGGCTGAGTACCTCGGATCAGTGTCGCCACACGGCGGGGTACCTCGGATCAGTACCGCCACACGGCGTGGTGTCCCTGGTCAGTATCGCCGCTGGGCTGAGTACCTCGGATCAGTGTCGCCACACGGCGTGGTGTCCCTGGTCAGTATCGCCGCTGGGCTGAGTACCTCGGATCAGTGTCGCCACACGGCGGGGTGTCCCTGGTCAGTATCGCCGCTGGGCTGAGTACCTCGGATCAGTGTCGCCACACGGCGGGGTGTCCCTGGTCAGTATCGCCGTGGTGAGTACCTCGGATCAGTGTCGCCACACGGCGGGGTGTCCCTGGTCAGTATCGCCGCTGGGCTGAGTACCTCGGATCAGTACCGCCACACGGCGTGGTGTCCCTGGTCAGTATCGCCGCTGGGCTGAGTACCTCGGATCAGTACCGCCACACGGCGTGGTGTCCCTGGTCAGTATCGCCGCTGGGCTGAGACCTCGGATCAGTACCGCCACACGGAGTGGTGTCCTGGTCATATCGCCGTGGGCTGAGTACCTCGGATCAGTGTCGCCACACGGCGTGGTTGTCCCTGGTCAGTATCGCCGCTGGGCTGAGTACCTCGGGTCAGTGTCGCCACACGGCGTGGTGTCCCTGGTCAGTATCGCCGCTGGGCTGAGTACCTCGGATCATTGTCGCCACACGGCGTGGTGTCCCTGGTCAGTATCGCCGCTGGGCTGAGTACCTCGGATCAGTACCGCCACACGGCGTGGTGTCCCTGGTCAGTGCCGCCACTGGGCTGAGTACCTCGGATCAGTGTCGCCACACGGCGTGGTGTCCCTGGTCAGTGCCGCCACTGGGCTGAGTACCTCGGATCAGTGTCGCCACACGGCGGGGTGTCCTTGGTCAGTATCGCCGCTGGGCTGATTGCCTCTGGTCAGTACCGCCACAGGGCGGGGTACCTCGGATCAGTGCCGTCACATGGCTGGGTGGTAGGGTTAAGATATGTGCACGCGGATGTGTAATGCTGGTCGAAGTGCGCTGGCGCCCGTCATGATTTGCAAATATATTATGTACCCGCGAATAATCTTGGACTCTCGTTGGCGATGGAGAAGGGATTATTTCAATGAGCTTCGAAAGACAAGTCTGGTTATTCCCCACGGTCGTTTACTCGCCATTGGATGCATTGGGTGGGGCCCCGTTATTTTCCCAACTCTTATATGGTGACGTGGTCTTTGCAGTTTCACGACAAGTGCGGTCTTGTGTGATGTGTACGTCTCTCTTTCGGCCTCTCTTCAGCCATGTGCGTGACCTCTAGCTGCTTTGCTTAACATTGATACCCCCTGTGTGATCACAGAGTACAGTTCGGTCAGTTTTGCCTCTGCGTGGTATTTGTGACCTCGGCGTTCTCCGTAGGACTTGTGTTATCCGTGTAGTCTGGTGCTCTGTGTGACCCTTGCGTGGTCTACATGACCTTTATGTGCCCTTGTGACATCTGTGTGCTCTTTGTGACCCTGATGTGCTCTGTGTGATCTTTGTATCCTCCGTGCGACCTTTATTTGCTCTGTGTGACCTTTGCGTGCTCTTGTTGACCTCTGTGTTTTCTGTGACCTTGCGATGCTCAGTGTGACCTCTGCGCTCTGTGTGACCTCGGCGTGCTCCGCCAGGTACGACGACACTGTCCACCAGATGGCGCTGCTGATATCAGTCACGCTCTGCCTCGTCATCTTCGTCATTGTGGTGGCCATCGTCTACCTGAGGTGAGGCCGCAAGACACGCCGTATCCGCAGGCGAGACACTTGGCGGCCGTGGCGGGCGAAACCGTATGTAAGGTGCGAACGGATGGTCGCCCAGGTGAACAAAACATCTCTAGGGCATGCCATAAAGCCGGGAACCGCGTGGTATTGTGCTGCAATTGGAGTTCCTTAAACGTTTTCATTAGCGCTCATCCAGTGTGCCAGTCGATGTATGACAAAAACTCGATCGACGTTCGTTTTTGAGGAATTGAAGAGCTCCGACGATGGGCCTGCTATTGCTGCTCAGTGTTGTGTTGCCTTGTGTTCGCCCTCCTTCCCTCCACCCTTCCCTGCCACCTCCCGTGAGCACCTGACTTTTTCGACTCATAACCACGTACGGCAGCGGGCGGCTGCAGCTATGCTGGCTGCGCACGCCTTCAACGGAGGGATGGACTGATACTGGAGGATTGCGCCGTCCTGCAGCCTCAAAACGCCAGCCGCTGTTCACCGACCGCACCTGATAACGACGGCGCTGTGACTGGATTTGTCGCCACCATGAGCTCGATTATGACGTCATTCGTTCGATTATGACGTCACAAGGGTGGTGTAGTGTGGCGGAGAAGCTGTGCGTCTGAGAAACCAGGGGCGCGGGTTCGATCCCCGTCACCGGCCGCGTGATCCGGCCGTGCCGTGACCGGGACCTCACCGCCGGCCCTGCCCCCTGGCGGCAGGTACCGCAAGCGTCTGGAGGAGCGCCGCGACCCAGATGACGTCATCCCCGATTACGAGGCGCTGATCGCCGCCAGCCACGGCCTGGCAGAGACCAGCAGCGGCAGCGGCTCCGGCAAACCCTTCCTGGTCAGTCGCTGTGACGCTTGCTGCGGGGCGGGGAACAGGTATCAGTGCTCTTATATCTGTATCTGGCTCGTTGCTAGTAACTCCAGCAGCGTCGATGCCGGATCACACTCGGTGCTAGATAACCAATGGATCAAGCCAGTTGTTGGAGGATAATCTGGCCAGCACTTCCTCGGAAGACGGCCACAGCGGGTGGAGCGTCCTCGAGCAGCCGCCCCGTCCCCTGCCACCGTCCCCGTCGGCCCATCGGCCCGTCAGTATGGGGCTGACGTGTCGTCCCGCCCGCTGCGCAGACGCAACGGACCATCGCGCGCGAGATCGTCGTGGGCGAGACGGTCGGCCAGGGCCGCTACGGCCTGGTGAAGCGCGGACTCTACCACGGCCAGCCGGTGGCCGTCAAGGTGTTCTTCACGCTTGAGGAGGCCTCCTGGCAGCGCGAGAAGGAGGTCTACGAGACGTGCCGCCTGCAGCACCCCAACGTGCTCGGTGGGTGGCCGTCGGCGGGGTGCGCCGGAGATGCGCCGGCTGCGGAGCCGGGGGAGGGGGAGGGGAGGGGAGGAAAGGCGGGGGAGGAACACGGCCACGAGGCGGAGAGGTAGTGTGCCCAGGACCGCGCACATGCAGCCCTGACCGGCTCAGTCCCCCCGCCCCGAACAGGGCGGGGACTGAGGGTGAATTCGGTTCCGTGTGACACTGAGGGTGAATTCGGTTCCGTGCGAATCGACTCGTACCAACGACTGTAGGAGACTGCTTAAGTTTATGACGTTTTGTATGCAATTTTAAAGCAGTGCGACGTCTGACAGGACGGTTAGGTGTGACCCATGACCTGTGACCTGTGACCTTGTGTGTGCTGCCTGTGAATGTTGTTCGCGGTGGGCTGTTGAGGAGATCGTTGGCCGAACCCCGAACACGGTGTTCATTCAGTTCCGCTGTTGTATCTACAAGAGTCGCCAGTGTTAATACGTCATTCTGCTATCTCGTGCAGTGTACAGGTCATTTCCGTCACGTCCCTTGCATTGGACTCGGCGGCACAGGCTTCCACCGCATGCTGACGTGTCCAGGCCGGCGGTACCCGTCCGCCGGTCGCCCGTAGCAGTGTGTCGATGTCATACCGTGTGCGCGATGTCAGAAGCCGTACACGCGTTCAGGGACCGTACGCGCAATTTCAGAGACCGTACACGTGTCAGACCGTGCACGCGTTCAGGGACCGTACTCGCGATGTCAGAGACCGTACATGTGTCAGAGACAGTACACATGTGTCAAGAGACCGTACGCGTGATGTCCGAGACCGCATGCGCCATGTGAGAGACCGCACGTGCGCGTTGCAGGGTTCGTGGCGGCCGACATCACGTCGAGCGGCGGCGCCCGCGGCTGCACGGAGATGTGGCTCATCAGCGAGTACCACAGCGGCGGATCGCTGTACGACTACCTGCGCGAGCACGTGCTGCAGCCGATCGACACGCTCGTCATGTGCCTCTCCATCATACAGGGTAGGGCACCCGTCGGTCGGCGCGCGCCCACCGCTGCCGCCGCTGGCAGGCGCCCGCCGCTCTGGTGACGGCGCCTTCTGGCCATGCTGGTGTTCTCGCCCTGTCACTGTTTCGCTCTCTCACGCTCGCTCTTTGCTCTCGCGCTGTCTTGCCTTATTGCTTTCTCGCTCTCCCGCCTCTCCCGCTTTCTGGCTCTCTCGCTCTCTCGCTCTCTCTCTCCCCGCTCTCTGGCTTTCCTGCTCTCTCGCTCTCCGGCTCGTTCTCCCCTCTCTCTCTCTTTCCTGTCTCTGTGTCTGTCTCTGTCTCTTCCTGTTTCTTTCTTTCTTTCTTTCTTTCTTTACCTCCCTTCCTCTATCATGCTGATTTGTCTGTCCATGCTCTCGGCTGCCGTCGGCGCCTGCCCTACACCCTCTTCTCTGCCATGTCGTTATCTTCTGTCATGTCGTGATGTCTATTGTCATGCAATGCCCCCGCCCCGTGGTATATCGTCTCTGCTGCGTCTGCGGCCATTCCTAGCACGTGCCTCTCCTACCTGTCTCTCGCCCATCTCCCTGCTCTCCCTCCTCGCCTCGCCTCGTCTACCCTCGTCACTCTCACTGTCCTCTCCCGCGCCCTCGTCCCGCTGCCGAAGCCGTGACTGATGCAATCCCAAGTTGCACGGCACAACCTGGAGAGGGCCGTGGCGCTGTCACAAGATGTGGACGAAATCCGGGATCAACTCCAGTGGAGTCGATGTCGTTGGCTGTCGTGAACGCCTTGTTGGCGTAGGACGGTGCTGGGCGCTGTACTGTTTGTTCAGTGGCATGCAAGACACCGCACAAGACACCGCACAAGACACTGCACAAGATGACACTGCGGGGCATGCAAGACAGCATCTCTGCCGCTCCTAGCGCGGTCTCGAGCCTGGCATCTCATGCCGCCGCGGCTGAGGGCTTGGAGCGTGGAAGCACCCGTGGCGGCCATCTCAGGCAGCTCCATTCGTGGCACGGTGTTGGGGTGGCCGCCTCTCTCAGAGGGCGGTGCTGATGTGTTATCAGCGCGCGCGCGGCATCGCGTGTGCACGCGATGCACGGGCACCTCCTGCCGCCGGACGGCGCGGCCGCCTGCCTCGACGCCCGGCACACTCGGGGGAAACCCCGTACGATCTCGAGAGAGCCGCGGGGGTGCCTCTCGAGTGAGAGAGCGGCCATGGCGTGTCGGTGTCACCCCCTCCCCCCTCCCCCACGTAGCCGGTCGGCTTTTCCTGGTTGGCCGCCCACGAATTGGGGAAACGATAACGGAGATGAGCGCCGCCGCAGGTCACGTGGCTCGCTGCTCCTGAAGTCCGGTCACTGCCTTGTTGATCAGTCGTATCGGCATGTGACTTGTAGGGGAGCAGCGGGGCTGCTGACCCTGCGTGACCTCCCCGCCCTCTCCCCCCTGCCTGGAGTGACGTGGGACCGTGGCATGACCACCAGTGATGACCTGTTGTGACCCCTCATATCGGCGGGTTGGACTGAGCTGTCATGACCTGGTGACGTCGTGTACCACAGTGCCGACCTGTTGACCTGGTGACCTCGTGTGTCACCTGGTGTAGCCCTGCCGGGGCCGGGCTGGCGCGGCGTGACCCCGGTGACCGCTATAGCTGACCTGTTGCGACCGGCCAGGCCTGGACTACCTGCACAAGGAGGTGGTGGCCACCAGCGTGCGGCCGGCCATCGCGCACCGCGACATCAAGTCCAAGAACATCCTGGTGAAGGCGGACGGCGAGTGCTGCCTGGCCGACTTCGGCCTGGCCGTCATGTACACCAGCTGCGGGTGAGATCTGCCGAGAGGAGATGAGAGAGGCTGAGATGAGATGAGAGACGCTGAGATCTGCCGGCCGCCGGTGGCTCCGGCGCCAGCAGGCGTTTTGGATGACGGATGACGTTTTGAGTATGGCGTGCTCGGTGGATGGCGTCCTCGTGGGATTAAGTCCTTGGAGGGCGAAGTCCTCTGAGGATAGTCTTTGGAGGGCGGCTCGCTGGGTCACGGCGTCTGTGTTGACCTTCCACCTCGGGACCTGTGCGCTGCTTTATGATGACGGCTCTGGACAGCGCCGGTCCGAGCCGGCGGCCGGTGTCGCCGCCGCTGACAGCAACCCCGCCCGCCCTCGCCGCCCCCAGTGAGAAGCAGCAGCTGGACGTGGCGTGCACGCGCCAGGGCACGCGCCGCTACATGGCGCCCGAGGTGCTGGACCAGACCCTGGACGTGCGCAGCTTCGAGGCCTTCAAGCAGTCGGACATGTACTCCACCGGCCTCGTCTTCTGGGAGGCGGCGCTCAGGTGAGAACGGCCCGAGATCGTGGCCGAGTGAGAACCCGTCCGCTTTGGACGCCGCAGCAGGGTCGGACATGTACGCCACCGGCCTCGTCTTCTGGGAGGCGGCGCTCAGGTGAGAACCGCCCGAGATCGCGGCCGAGTGAGAACCCGTCCGCTTTGGACGCCGCAGCAGGGTCGGACATGTACGCCACCGGCCGCGTCTTCTGGGAGGCGGCGCTCAGGTGAGAACCGCCCGAGATCGCGGCCGAGTGAGAACCCGTCCGCTTTGGACGCCGCAGCAGGGTCGGACATGTACGCCACCGGCCTCGTCTTCTGGGAGGTGTCGCTCAGGTGAGAACGGCCCGAGATCGTGGCCGAGTGAGAACCCGTCCGCTTTGGACGCCGCAGCAGGGTCGGACATGTACTCCACCGGGCTCGTCTTCTGGGAGGCGGCGCTCAGGTGAGAACGGCCCGAGATCGTGGCCGAGTGAGAACCCGTCCGCTTTGGACGCCGCAGCAGGGTCGGACATGTACTCCACCGGGCTCGTCTTCTGGGAGGCGGCGCTCAGGTGAGAACGGCCCGAGATCGTGGCCGAGTGAGAACCCGTCCGCTTTGGACGCCGCAGCAGGGTCGGACATGTACTCCACGGGGCTCGTCTTCTGGGAGGTGGCGCTCAGGTGAGAACCGCCGGAGATCGTGGCCGAGTGAGAACCTGTCCGCTCTGGACGCTGCAGGACGGCTGGAATACCGCGGTTTTTCTAGAAGATGAGCTGAACTGTCAGAGGTTTTTTGTAAGAGCATTGGGAGAACAGGGTGCGGTTATCGCTGAGAACGTTGTGGGTGATTGCGGTGACCGCAGAGGAGAGAGTTTCGTAGATCTGGAGACCCGTGCCAGATGTGGAATGTCTGCATCATGTGGAATGTCTGCATGCTAGGTCCATGCGCATAGCTCAGAAACCAGTGGATATAAAGTCTTAAAAAGGACATAGCTGTAAATTGCAGAGAAAGGCCTTGAAATTGGCAAGCTCGCTTCAAAACCCCATGCAGATGTTTAACAGTCTTTTCAATAGTTCTTTCACTGCATGAACATTGGCCGTCGACGCGACCTGAAACTCCTCTTTTTGGATATTATGTTGGGCACCCGAAGTGCTTTTCATTGCTGTTTCCACTCCCATTAGGTGCTCACAAAGTGTGTACATTGCCAACGTCAACCGACGTTTAACAGCATGCAGTGGCCACATCACATTGATGAACCCGAGCGTTAACGTTACGTGGCACTGAACCACGACGTGATCCGTCTCAGATAATCTGCCAAATCTGGCCCGAATTTGTACCACCTGCAGACCAAACATGGATGAGATGCTACGGAACGTCACCGGCCACGCTGCGTGACGGATTGTGGCGCAGTCCCGCTGACAACGTCGCAGTTTTCACAGGACGGCGTGACGCGACTCTGCAGTCCGCACAACCAGCGACCCAGCGTCCTCCGCGAGGCCAGGTCCGGCCGATGTCGGAGCGGACGCTGCGTGTGACGTCACGCCCTAACTCTGCCGTCGGCCGCCAGGTGCGCCACCGGCGACAAGATGCGCGACTACGAGGAGTACGCGGTGCCGTACGCGGGCATGGTGCCGGCCGACCCGAGCTTCGACGACATGCACCGGCTGGTGTGCGTCGAGAACGTGCGGCCGCCGCTGCCCGACCGCTGGGGCCGGCACAAGGTCAGCCAGTGTGGCCCGAGCGGGGCGCCGCCGGGCTAGCCGCGGCCTGAACGCGTGCCGCGGTCATGGCATTCCAGCGTCGGCAGTCTGCGCGCGTCGCAGTAGGGTTAACGCCTGGACAGGAGGCTTGCCGGCATGCTGCGCCGTCATGCTCTTCTTGTGCACGTATACACTGTAGTACCTGAGCATGAGAATATGTGCCATCATCCTGGGTTGTTGCTTGGTAAACGACTCTGCTTTCGAGGAACGTTAAACAGAACGTTTTGTATCGGGTCTACGCCACGTTCTGTGAGAGTGAAAGAGAAACATGATGTTGGAAAACCCGTGAAGTAGTGGGAGGCGTAATAAAAGGGGGTGTACCGAACCCTCAGTCGTTGTTCTTGCATACTTATCAGTTTTCGGCCACTCTTCTCCGCCTGTGGATGACAGTGATTCTCCGCCATGTAGTGTCATGTCTGGTGCCGATCCCTGACATACGGGCCGGTGCCCGACCCCGAGCCATCCGGCGAGTGGCGCCCTCCGACCTGACCGGTGACCCGTCTGCCCGACAGTCGCTTGCCACCCTGAGCCGCCTGATGCAGGACTGCTGGCGTCGCACGCCCGGCGCCCGGCTGCGCGCCCTCAACGTCAAGAAGCACCTGCTGGTCGCCGTGCAGGCCGAGCGGCGCGCCGCCACCCCCGCCGTACACCTCTAGCCGCGCCGCGGTGGCGGCGGTGACACCAGAGTTGGCGCTGGCTGCGGCGTGTCTGCATTGGTGGCAGCGGTGGGACCTTACGCAGTGTTGGCGTGGGCGGCAAATGCCCGCCATCGGGACAAAATACTGGCGCTTCCAGCGTGCCTGTTGGTGTCTACGTTGATCGGTGTGTGTGTGTGTGTGTGTGTACGTGTGCGTACATGCGCGTGCGATTGTGGATACGGGAACCCGGCGCCGCTCGGAGGCAGTGACGTGATCGCTACCTGTGACGTCAGCAAGAGGCCGCGGTCGGCGCCGCCTACTGCGGCGAGCCGACCGGGAGCGAGCTCCGCCTCTGTCCCCGGTCTGTGTGTATGTGACGTTGTCGACGGTCTGACGTCACCTCTGGGTGGCGTGACGTCACCCCGGTAGTCTGTGTGACGTCACCAGCGGTGAATGCCGCGTCGTTACGGCGGTGCGCGTCGCTGCGACGGCCGGAACTGTGTCCTCAAGCGGGTGTCACGCGCCCGGCGTCCCCAGCGAGTCTCCCGAGAGCAATACGGCTCGCGCGCGGTCTGCGCCGCTCTCCGAGGTTGCTGTGATGGCGGCGCTGCGGCAGCCAGACCGGCCCGCCATCTGTCGGCGCGCCTCGCCGCGCTGCAATAATACCGCGGCCGGTCCAGTCGCTGTCGAGTTTGCGGGCCCGCGTGGTGCGGCGGACAGGGCCTGTTCCATCTTGCGTTGTTGTACATTGAGTCGCTAGCAGTAGGAATTATCCCCTAGATTCGAACGCTGCATGAATTATACCCGAGATTTGACCTGTGCACGACTTATTGCCTAGAATCGATTGCTGTATGAATTGACCCCTAGATTCGCCCGCTGTATATTCGTTAGGCCTGGGCTTTCTGCTACCCTCTGTTCGCTGATGCTGCACCAATGATGCTTTAGGGCTATCCGACGCCGGTGGGCGCCGGCAATAAGCGGCTTTCTGATTGGTCGCGACGTGGGCCGCCGCCATCTGGTTGGTCAACGTCGGATGGCGGCGGCGGCGCCGGCCGAAGTCGAGCAGCCCGCGCCCTCGCGTGCAGCTAGCAATCTTCTCCTGCCTGTCTGATCCTTCGGTGCGATTGGTCAGCCCGCCGCGTGCTGTTGCGCGCGCGCGCTGCACGGTTTATCTTGATGCCGTCGTCGGGGCGCGGATTCAATACGACGAAGACGAGTGCCAAGAGGCGGGCCGGACGCGGCCCGCCCGTGTGCGTGAAGTGATGCGTATCTGTGCCATCCAGCGAGACGGTGCTCCCGCCCGCGCCCGGCCGCGTGCTAACCTATTACGTACGTACAAATTTTGTACTCGGATTTTGTACCGAACCTGAGCCGTAGTAATAATACCGTTAACATGGATCTGGTGTTTTGTTAACACAAAGCGGTGAGACTGTGTGGAAATAAATGGCGTTTGCTGCTGCTGGCTTGTAACTCGGTGGGATGTTGAGGAATGGTTTTGGAGATGCGTGGAAGGTTTGGTGCCCCTTTGCTTCCAATGCAACTCGCTGTGGCCTTCGACGCACACGGCATTTCCGTAGTGCTTCTCCGAGTGTCGCTCAAGCCGCTTCGAATTTCCAAAGTTGCTCAACCAATGCATCGGGTTTTGTTTCCCCGCATAGCACTGCACGAGTGACCGCATAATACTGCATGAACGATGGCCTAGCACTTCGTACTGCACAGTACGAAACGACCTACATCACTGATTGGTACTCATTTCAGCAGCAGTGCAAGTCGACAGATCGTTTCCGTCCTGCGCCGATAGCTCGGTTGGAGCGCTTGCCTTCCGCTCGCACAAGGGTGGGTTCGAATCGCCTTAGGTGCTGGGTACTTGGCCGGACATATATGGACTGCGGCAGGTGGCAGCGGCCGTGCTTAAGTTTGGGTAATGTCAGAATTCAGGGCGGATCGTGCCGAGCAATCCGGCACACTCAGTTTCTCTCATGAAATTATACCGTATTGCATTAGATTCAACTGCACTTTATCAGGTCGTTCCACAATATTGGCGGCTATTCTTAGACCTTTGGCACCAAGTAAATCGACAGTCACAAGGCGAAAAGCATAAACATGATGTAGGGAAACGTACGAGAGGTGAAAAATGTCAGGTATATTGAATAAGGTCCTGGTCACGGGTCTTACAAGAAAAGGCATGTCCGTGATGTACGTCGCGTGTCGCGTGTGTAAGTCGCGTTGGGTTTAAAATGCAAGATCGGGCGGTAGGGGTCACGGCTCACGCTACATGCAGTGCTTAACATGAGTTCTGATTCCAGAACCCATCCTTTCAAAACCTGTCGAACTAAATCTTCAAAAATATCCGAATGACATCAGAACTGACAGGAAGTGTTACATTTTTATTGAACCCAGCTGGGACGAGAAGTTGTTGAATTTTTCTGCGTCAGCTTCATCGAAAATGAGTTGATGAATCGTGCAAAATGACAGCGGCGTGGCCAGGGAAGGCTTTTGTGGTAATGCTCCCCTTCCCCTCCCCCCCCCCCCCCCTGAAGATGACGGGGCCCATTACGATGCTTCTTGACAATTTAAGACGCCCGTGGTACCTCTGAAACACTTGAAAACGGGATGTCAGGACATTTAAATTGGGTTCCGAGGCTAAGGTGTGCCTCGAATGAAAGCAGGTCTTCCTGTCGACGAAGTGATTGAATAAGAACCCCCCCCCCCCCCCCGACGCCCACACCCACACCGCGAAGTTGAATTTCTCCTTGCCACAATTCTGACTACGCCATAGGATACACCGGTGTTCTTTTCATCATTAACACTAGTGTTGTCCCTCCGAATAACACGTTTAGTTTTCCTGCTAAGACGAATGTTGGTTCCGGATGCAACTTGAACAACTATGCATTCGTCTCGCTCTCTTTACACGGACAAAGGGAATTCGGCGCTGGATTTCTCCTGTATATCCGTGCTCCAACTCCTGGGCGCAGTTTAGTTGCTTAATAAGGCTGGTGTCGAACTTTCCATGTCAATTCACGTGTAGTTCATCGATTTTTCAACAACAGATGTACTTTGTGTACTATAAACATCGATCCTTTTCATTCACATGCTCCTAGTAGACAGCTTTCAATTAGCATCCTCGTTTTTCTAGTCGCGCGACAAAACATGCGCAAGTCTTCGGTGTAGCGTTGACGGGATTCCAATCCTGGTTGGGTGGCCACGCATTTCGGGTTGTTCTGCTGAGGCTGTATTGCATTGGTTTGTTCTGTGATTGATCATCCTTGGGTATTGTTGCTGTTGTAACAGGAATGTCACGCAGGTATTGATCCGGTTACGATCAACGTGTGGAGTAGATAATGAGGTACGGGTGCAGGAACGTCCAAAGTGGGAGGCTGGCCCTTTGCGTCCCGGGTTCCTTACATACATCGTAATTTTAGTGCCTTGCAAGCATCGGTATGTGAAGTTTTTTGGTTATAGTCACTTGCCTCTAGTTCCCTCAATCTTTGCCCTCCATTTTGTGACAAGTAATGGTGGGATGCCCATTTTCTGGTCAAATAAAGCCATTTAAAGAACTGATGCCAGCAGTGACGTACAGGCACCAGTAAATCACTTATTAAAGCCTTGCGGTGGTGCTTATTGCACTTTTGGATGGCATGGGATGTGTTTGCTGATCCCCAGATACAGCACATTTACATCCTAGCTTCATGATTCAATTGTGCCATTTTTGTGCCAGCTCTCCATCACTGCCATGCCTGTGCAGCAATTGCTGAAGTGTCTTACTGCCCTTGCTGAGACTGGGGACTTGCTCAGTCACTGTAAGTGTAATTTGTGGTTTCCTGAAAGTTTAGTGCTCCAAATAACTGCTCCATCTTCTATAGACAGGTTGTCATTTTTCTAACTTAGTGCGTCCTTCATTCTCAGTATCTAGTTTGTGTTGGTTGTTTTATTGTATCTACCACCTAGTTTGCATTGTCTATTTTATTGTATCTATCATGTAGTTCATGTTGTTTGTTTAATTATATCTGTCATAAGCCATGCTCTATTGTAGGCCAGTATAGTTAAATACCAGTTTTAGGAAATCCATCCATTGCATCTAATGCCTGCAGCTTAGGTGTGGTGAATCTCGCACTGGTGCACCAAATTCAGATGAAGCTGAATTGTGCCAAACAAAGGGCAGACTAAGCTATGATTGATTTTGCATCTTATTTTACATGAGAAACATTCTCATAGTACTTTCAGACCATAAGTACCTTTGCAACATCATAATTCCTTGAAACATTGACTCTATGAGCCAAAATTGATGTAATGTGATATACCCTGCCCACCCTGGTTTATAACAACTGTGTACTGAAATTGTTGCTGCAGTGTTGCTACCAGACAGGACATGTTTGCCTTTGACATGCACATTTTATCATCTGGGTTATGTAGCATTAACACACAGGCATTTCCCATACCTGAAATCATAGTGTGACATTCACAGTCACAAGCAATCCATTACATCTGATTTGGCATTTGGTGGTAATATCCAATTTAGCATGCTTGCTTATAACATTTTTGAATAACACAAGATGTGTTAAGATTCTCTGCATTTGATTGGGCTCACATGAGGCCTCAAATTATATTAAAGGATATATCAACAAGTAATCACAGTAGCCTGCAGCAACAATATATGAGAGATTCTGGATATTTGTTGCTGATTTGAGCAAATCTGAGGCTCATGGAGTCAGTGTGCAATATACAACTTTCAGTCACTCAGTATTCTTACATTCTTACATTTTTTCATTCTTGCCCATTGTCATGCATTTGGTTTTCCTTTGTGCAGAACATTGATATGTCTGCTGCACTGTCTTCTGTGTTGTGCCTATGCTGTGTTGTGTGCAGTTGTCCCTTGTGTGGCCCTGTCCTGTCATCTGTAGTGTGCTTTCAATTGTGTTGTACCATGTTATAAACAAGGATCCAAAACATTGCGGAACTCTGGCCCTTAACCAAAATGTGACTGTAGCTCAAGTAAACAGAATTTGCTGGTTTGGCATGGCATGTCAGGAATGTCATTCATTTTGGAAATGCATCAGGTATAAGAACTTCTGTATTAAGAACCTAGATTGTAAAATTCATCTTAATCCTGATAAATTCAGTGTGGGGCAGTGTATTCATAATATGCATATGCAATCTTAAAACAACATTGAGATGTGTGAAGTCTTACTTGTAAAACGTAATTTAAGTACAATTTTGAAGTTGAGATGTGTTGAGCAGAAAGCAAAAAACTTTTACACTTGCAGTGAGAAATGATGATCACTTGACTGCATTGCTGAACCAGAGTGGTCCGAGTTAAAGTGGTTTTACAACAGTTTGATGGTGCATTATTCATGTCGTAGAAATTTTATCACAAAACAATATTGCGGCATATTTCAACCAGTGTTGTTTGTTAACACTCAGATTCAAGGTTCTTTTAAATGATCATTTTGAACTGTGATATGGGAAAAACATCATCTTATGCTTGCATTCATGCATGTGATACAAACATGTTCTTGATTCCTATTATTCCCTTGTCACTACAGTGTATCTTGACTCCTCTTTTGCTTGACATATTTAATTGAGAGTTATGTTTTTGCCTCCCAATCAGACAGCTCTATCAATGCATGAAATGAGCACAGTGCATGGTCCCTGAAAATCAATATGCTGCTGTCAAGGGTGACCCATCAAGGCCAATGACGCAAAATGCCGAGTTTCGCCATCACCCTGTCATTATCATCCTGGCGCAAGCAACGCCTCATGGTACCCCAACGGTGCGTGCACCGCCGCCCACCGACTCCGGCGTGTTCCAGCTGACTGGCCGTGCGCCATTGACGGGACCGCGGCAGCGTGCAGCGCGAGCAGCGCGCCATGGAGCCGGACCACACGCCCAACGAGTTCCCGTTCAGCTCGGCACCGGGCACGGAGCTGCTGCAGGTTCCGCTCTCGTACCGCACCTCCTCCGACGGAAGACAGGTGGGCCGCACGCCGCCGGTCGGCGCCGTGCGCCGGCGGGGAAGCGCGCGCTGGGTGTGGCGGGCCGGGGTCGCCGTGACGGGTCTCGGCGGGATGCCCCTCTTGGGGCGCTGGTTCGTTTGAGTGCACGCGCTGGTGGGTGAGTTGTTCACGGGAAGCGCGAGCATGGTCAACAGGTCTCGCAGCCGCGCTTGGCAAGAATTAGTTATTGAAGATCAGTGATTGTGGCCAAAAGCTATGACCGGCGCCTGTCAGTCCACTTGGCACCCTCTTTGAAGCCCTTGGAAGCCTCGTAAACCTCACTGGACGCCAAGCAAGCCTGTCTTTGCCTCGCAAACCCACCGTCCAAGCTCGCTAACGGCTGCGTCGGTGACGTCACTCCTCAGCTGGTGTACACCATCACAACGTGTGGTGGCGGGGGCGGCTCCTCCTCTGGCGGCGGCGGCAACGGCAGCGGCAACGGCGGCGGCTCCCTGACGCCGGCCATGCTGGCCGACACGGCCGGCTTGCTGGACGTGCTCAAGCAAGACACGCTGGTGGCTGTCGACGCGCTCGACGGCTTCGCCGCGCACGCCGACCAGGTGGCCGCAGGTGAGCGGCGCCGGTTCGAGGCCGGACGGAGGCAGAACTTTTTCACGCGGTTGCGCTGGGGTGCGGGGTGGCGCGTTCCACTGTTGCAGTGGCACGGTATGTGATAAAGCCGGCTGGTTGTCATGCACCCTTGCCGGTTACATTAACGTGAGGACGACTAGCGTCGCAACTTTGCGGAAAGAGCAAGTACATGCACGCTCAGCGCGACACGCGGGCGTTCTGAGCCCGCTGTCCAAGAAGCGGTTTAATTGTGATTGGGATGCCAGTCTTGTCCATGGTCCTTCCATCGCGCAGAACTGCTGCGCGTCTCCTCATCACGACCACACGCCCAGGTGGCGGTCCTAGACCCTGCTGAATCAGGTCACCCTGGGCTGGTTACCAGCCGACGTTCATGTAGCCAGCTCTGCGTCTGACTCGTCGCGCATGACGCCGCTGGAGTCCCGCGGATGGAATCACGTGCTGGACCTCCGGGTCGCGGGACGCGGCTGACCGTCCCTGGGTCGCGGCGGCGGCGGCGGCGGCGGTGGCAGCGACGCTTGCATGAGCCGATTGGCCAGCGCTCGCAGGATGTTTTGTGACCCGCAGAGCGTGGGTGGGGGCTCGTAACGGCCGTCGGCTCCGCTCTGGCCTCCCTCCCCTCCCCCCCCCCTCCAACCCTCACCCCCCACCCGCCACCACTCAGCCGCGGTCGCCGTGACAGATTGCAACGCCCGGCGGCCGCCACACACGTCCTAACATAGCCGAATCGTCGTGCTCGCAGTGGCGCCGCGGCCAACTGCAGGTTACCAGGACGACCACCAGATGTCGGCCAACGCCGAGCTGGTGGACGCCGTGGCGCAGTACGTCCAGCAGATGGCCAACGCTCAGCCGCCCGCCAGCCTGGTCGAGATCAAGCACAGGTGAGGGGGCGTCGCACCCGTGCTTGGAGACCGGGCTACCGCGGGCCGGGACCGTGTGGAACCGTGTGGTTTTTGGGTGGGGTGTGTGTGGTTTCAAATGTTGTTTCTGTGTGCCAAAGTGGGCATGAAGGCCCACCGCGTTTGAATTTTTTGGTGCGCAGTGTTGCATTTTATCGTGTGCCATCTGCCAAAGGCGTGCTTGGGAAACACTTGCGTGCTTTCTGTTTAGTAATGTGTGTGTGTGTTTTTTTGTCAATAGTATGTCTCTAGTGGTATTCGCTCAGTAAAATGATGAATCATGTGGCATACTGTCCAACCTCTGAGCTGCTGCCTCTGCGCTAGAGCGTGGGCAGACGCGTAACTCGGTGTGAGAGGAATTTATGCAAAATTACGATGCGATCAATTTTCTGTATCTAGCGTCGCTGCGGGTATGAAGGAATTGTGTTGGCTTCAACGCAGTTGATGTAGCGTGAGTCGGCCTAAACTCGTGTTATTCCTGTTCATATTACCTGACACCATTTTGCCTCATTTCGCTGTCGCCTCGCCTCGCCTCGCCTGGTGTCACTACACCTTCCTGGCCCCAACTCACCCAGCTTCACCTCACCTCACTTCACCCTGCCACTCCGCATGCCACCTGACCATCACCTGACCTGACCCGACCGTCACCTGACCTGACCTGACCTGGCCTGACCTGACCTGACCGCACCTGACCGCCAGGAGCGGCGAGGTGCTGTGCTTCCTGTGCGACTCGCCGGCGGCGCGCGGCATGATCGAGATATTCGGCGAGACCAACATCCTGTCGGCCTCCAAGACGCCGGTGTGCGTCAAGCTGGAGTGCCTGCTGGACTGCCCGCTGCCGGCCGAGCGCCTTCACAGCGACGCCATCTGCCTGGCCTGCCTCAAACTGCTGGAGGAGGCCGACGACGTCGACTTCCGGCTCAAGGTTGGTGGGTCGTTGATGGCAAGGTCGGTTGGTCGGTCGGTCGGTCGGTCGGTCGATCGGTCGATCGGAAGGTCGGTTGGTCGGTCGGTCGATCGGAAGGTCGGTTGGTCGATCGGAAGGTCGATCGGAAGGTCGGTCGGTCGGTCGGTCGGTCGGTTGGTCGCAGCGGCCGGCGAAGGCCGGGGTCGGCGGCCGACGTCAGTCGTGGGAAGGGAGGCTCGAAGCGGGCGCGCGGGCGCGGCGTGGCGGCGCGACGCCGGCGTCCGTGTTCAGATTGTCGTGGCCGCCCGGCCGCCGGTGAGCTCCGGTCTCTGGTGAGCCGCCGGTGTCAGCTCCGGTCTCTGAGCGGGTCAGCGGTGCTTGGAATGAGACGGATCGGCACAGGGGTCCTAAATTCATCCAGCACGGTGTTCGGGGTGTAATCAGAAAACCATGGTGCCAGAATTCAGGTTCTGTGGTGGCTTTTGCACGCATGTTGTTGGTGCTAGTCCGTTGCCCTCTGACCCCGCCGCCCGGTTCGATGCTGAGTAGCCGATTTTGAGCATGGGGAGGGGAGCAACAGGCAGTGAATCCCAAGCCGGAGGAAGGGGAGATCATAGCATGTACAAATATTGACATCCCCGTCGCCTAAGTGGTTGAATATTGAAACACCGGACCAGCAGCCAACCGCCGCTGCGTAGGAAGCCTTTCGACCCTCCCGTCGCGACGCTCGGCGTGTTTGCCTCTCGGACAGCAGCAGAGTAGCGTTCAACAGCAGGAGTCTGGAGGCAGAGCAGCGTTCAATAGCGTGCATCTGGCGCTAGAAGCGGTACGAGCAGCTGACCCTGTGCCCCTCCTCAGTGTCTGACCCTGCTCTCAATGTCTGTTTAGGAGCTGCAGGAGCGGTCCGTGCAGCTGATTCCGTGCCCTTCCTCAGTGTCTTACCATGTTCTCGATGTTTAGTCAGGAGCTGCAGGAGCGGTCCAGGCAGCTTACCCCGTGCTCCTCCTCAGTGTCTGACCCTGTTCTCGATGTCTGCCCAGGAGCTTCAGGAGCGGTCCGAGCAGCTGACCCGCCAGGTGCGGCAGCGTTTCACGCGGACCGTGCTGGGGCGCAAGGTCGAGTACGCCGGCTGGCGGCCCGTGCCGCTGCCACACACTCCAGGTCAGTCACGGCACAGCACGGTACGGCATGGCACATCAGGGCACGGCACGGCACGGCACGTCATGACACGACACGACATGTCACGTCAGGGCGCGGCACGGCACGGTAGGTCATGACACGACATGGCACGTCATGACACGGCACGGTACGTCATGACACGGCATGGCACGTCAGGGCACGGTACAGTACGTCATGACACGGCATGGCACGGCACGGTACGGTACGTCATGACACGGCATGGCACATCAGGGCACGGCACGGCACGGTACGCCATGACACGGCATGTCACGTCAGGGTACAGCACGGCACGGCACGATAGGTCATAACACGGCGTGGCACGTCATGACACGGCATGACACGGCATGGCACGTCAGGACACGGCACGGTACGTCATGACACGGCGTGGCACGACCTGACACGGCACGGCACGGCACGGTACAGCACGGCACGGTACAGCACGGCACAGTACAGCACGGCACGGCACGTCCGCTGGCCATGGCGGTCGGCGCAGCGCTCAGGCCACACTAGCGGCCACCGACCCGGAGAGCCGGAGCAGCAAACGATGGGAAATGCACTGTTTGGCTGTGTCCAGCTTGCCATATGAGAACAAAGGCACAACTCCTGGAGGCCGTCAGTACCGTCATCCATCCTGGTTTCAGATGAGCCCGCATCCATCCTGTCCTGCGTTCCTTGAGATGCCGCCTCCGAAGGCCACCTTTGTCGCACAGGCGGCTCCCCTTCATCCAGCCCAGCCCATGTGGAGAGCCGGAGAGAGGTTTGCGTAGGCCCACGCAAAACCCATTGGCGATGACGTAAGCCTTGCGTCGCTGGGACACCGGGACGGTGTTGTTTTCCGCTCTAGACGGTGCTCTAGACGACTTTCAATGGGTTTGGTTGCCTTGTCATGCAGTGCCCAAATGCCCAAATGATCAGCCATGTTACCCGTGTCTGTGTCGGGTCAAACGACCATTTTCCTTGCGCACGCAGGCCTTCGCAATTATTGCAGGCCTCATCCGCATGCCCCATCACTTTTTGGTAAAATTGTAACGTTTGGTTGGACTTTTTACCTTCGTGCTGAAGAAAGCCCGTCTCATCGCGTAGATCCTCGTGGTCTGATCCCCGCACTGGCGCTGGAGCATGTGACCTGAGACGGACCTGTGTGGGGTCGCCGCTCCACCACAGCGGCTGTGGACCCGCTGTGGATCTGCTGTGGACCTGCTGTGGACCACGCGACCTTCTGAGACGGACCTGTGTGGGGTCGCCGCTCCACCACAGCGGCTGTGGACCCGCTGTGGACCCGCTGTGGACCCGCTGTGGACCTGCTGTGGACCCGCTGTGGACCATGCGACCTTCTGAGACGGACCTGTGCGGGGTCGCCTCTCCACCACAGCGGCTGTGGACCTGCTGTGGACCTGCCGTGGACCCGCTCACGAACGCATGTGTACATGGCTCGGACTGACCGCGGCCACATGGTCGCCGCTCACTGCCGCCCTGTTGCAGAAGAGGAGGAGGCCAAGTCGACCGCCGCTCCGCCCGAGCCGCCGTCAGCTGACTGTGACGTCACGGAGGAGTGGCCGGAGGAACGCGGCGGCAGGTGAGCGGGGCGGGACGGGGTTGGGCGAACCGGCTGAGGCCCCGTGGCGGTGGGGTCGAGGATTGGTACCAATCTGGTCTGATGCGAAACGCCTGACCTTGCGCGCTGTCATATGACCTTGGACGCTGTCAGATGTCCTTGTGCGCTGTCAGATGACCTTATGCCCTGGCCTTGTGTCACCAACCGTCCGTGTGTGGGCTCGCGGACGGGCGCGACCCGAACTGGCCGGCGCGACCCCCGTGACCTGACATGACCTTGGTCGTTGTTGGCAGTCGGGCGTCGTCGCCGTCGCCCAGCGTCATCACCGGTGACCTGGCTGACCCTGATGACCCGACCGATGACCTCTACGTGGCGTTGGCCACGTCAAAAGCCGAGTCGGCCGCCCGCAAAAAGAAAACGGTCAGTGGTGACGGGGGAAAAAAGCACGCCAGTGATGGTGGTCGGTGACGTGTGAAAAGGGCCAGACTGGGTGGGAAATGGAAAACACTAAAAATGTTGTCGCTTGTCCGCTAGTCTGTGTCTCGCGCCAGCCTGGGTGCATAGATCGGGTATCCTCGGATATCCCAGCCTCGTATCATCACGTGTTATCATCGCCATCATGTGCACACCAGCCAGCGCTCTCCTGCGCCGCCTCCCCCGCCCCTGACGCCGCGCGCCGGCCGCCGCCCCCAGGGCTCCAAGGCCCGCGTCAAGGTGGTAGTGCCGGACCCCCGGGACCCGGCGCGCAGCAAGGTCAAGTACGTGTACGACCACAGCCACGCGTGCCACATCTGCGGCAAGACGTTCGCCTGGCAGGGACACCTGACCAAGCATCTGCAGGTGCGTTAGGGTCGCACTGGGCGATCGAGGTCTTCGGGGCTCTTAGCGGGTTCTCCGCGGGATTTTGCTTCGATTCTCCTTGGGTTCTCGTCGGGTTCTCCTCGGAGTCTCCCGGGTCCTCATCGGGGTTGTCCGCGGTTTTTCGACGGGCCCGTCATCGGGTTCTCCGCGGAGTTCTTCGCTAGTTTTCGGGTTCTCCGCGGGTTCTCCTCTGGTTTTCATCGGTGTTCTCCCAGGATTCTCCCTAGGTTTTATCGGGGTGCTGCGCGGTTTCTCCTCGGGTTCTCCCCGAGTTCTCACTGGGGCTCCCCGCGCGGTTCTTGAGCGCGGCGCCTGAGATCCTCCGCGGCGAAGAAGGCATCTCTGCGCTCCGCTGGGCGACCGTTGCGTGGCGTCCTCGGGGTTTCCCCGGCACTATTCATAATGCGCGGTTAGTAGGCTTGTGACGGTTGTGTGACAGGAAGAACCGCTTGGACGCTGAGATTAGGCCCCGCGCCCGTTGAGCGGTGCCTCGGCGAGGGTCAGGAATGACGTCACGGTTCTGTTTGCCCGCACATTGACTTTGATGCCCGCTGCTGGCTGCCATCGGGCCGCGGCTGACGACTGACTGACAGATGGCCGCGGACGGCGCGGCCGTCGATGCGCGGGCAGGCGGGATCCGAGGTCTGAGGTCTGACCCGAGGTCTAACCCGAGGTCTGACCCGAGGTCTGACCCAGGATGTGTCCGGCAGACTCACACGGGCGAGCGGCCGCTGAACTGTCACATCTGCGGCCAGACGTTTCGCTGGTCCTCCCACCTGACCAGCCACCTGCGGCGTGAGTAGCCGCGGCAGCGGAGGCGGGGGCGGGGGGGGGGGAACGGAGGCGGGGGAGTGGGGGGAGGGCAATGGGGCGGGGGAATGGGGGAAGAACGGAGGGGGGAGAACGGAGGCGAGAGAGTGGGGAAGGAGAACGGAGGCGAGAGGACGGGGAAGGAGAGCGGAGGCAGGGGAGTGGGTTGGGATCATGGTAGCAGGGGAGGGTGGCGGGCTGAGGCGGTGAGCGTTCTGGTGGGAAGGAGGAGAGATACAAAGGATGTCCGAAAGCAGAGACGTCTGTATGGGAGAGGGCAAGGGGAAGGATTGGCAAACAATCAGGACGAAAAGTGTCAAAAGGGTCTCAGCACGCAGACACCAACGTCAAGCCCCTCCCCCCCCCATCCCCCCGTGCGTTGAGCGACGAAACGTGCCGCGGGTGGGAATCGAACCCGGGCCTGCCGTTCCGTGCTGCAGCGCTCCGCCCCGGCCGTCACTGACGCCGTTCGCCCGCAGGCCACAACGACGACAAGCCGTTCGTGTGTAACGTGTGCGGCAAGAGGTTCGTGTCGAGCTCCGTGTTCAAGGGCCACATGCGCACACACACGGACGAGAAGCCCTTCATGTGCGGGGTGAGAGTGCCCCCCGAGCGGCTGGTGCTGGTGCTGGTGCTGGTGCTGAGCTGGGGCTGGCTCGATCGGCACGGCTTCCCGGCCAGTGCCATCGTTCGACTTGCGTACAGATGCCACATGCAAGGTGTCGTACAGGCGTCACTGACAAAAGGGGGTGTCGGGTATGTCCAGATCTGTTGTTGTGGTGAGGTGCGCAGGTTCTGGCGCCTGTACTGCCAACAGCCTCTGATTCGTCTGAACTGGTCAGGAGAGTCTGTGTCAACATGTGCTGTGTTTGCCATGTTTAAGGCCACACCTGACCACCTGACCTCATGTGACCCCACCTAACCTCATCTGACTCCCATCTCACCCCGCCTGACCCCGCCGGACCCATCTGACCTTACATGACCTCACCTGACTACCTGATTGTGGGGGCCGTCACTGGATGACCTCATATGACGTCACTGACAACCCAACGGCCCCGACTGTCTCCTGGCAGCGCCCCGCGACCTGTGATGACCTGGCCGCCTTGGCACTCCCGGGCGACGCAAGGTGTGGTTCGCGCCCCCGTGCTAATCCCCTCGACCGGATCCCCGTTCCCTGAGCCTCATTTCCTTACCCCTGTGGCCTGACCACCGTGACTTGACCCCGTGACCTGACTCCGTGACCTGACCTCGTGACCTGATCCCGTGACCTGATCCCCGCGTCCGAACCCCGTGACCCTACCCAGTTGACCTGACCCCCGTGACCTGACCCCCATGGCCTGACCCCGTGACCTGACCCCCGTGACCTGACCCCCGTGACCTGACCCCCGTGACCTGACCCCCGTGACCTGACCCCCTTGACCTGACCCCCGTGACCTGACCCCAGGTGTGCGGCAAGCAGTTCCGGGACAAGAGTAACCTGCGCACGCACGAGTGGGTGCACACGGACAAGCGGCCGCACCGGTGCGGGCCGTGCGACCGCGGCTTCCTCACCACCAGCGCGCTGAAGGTGCACAACAGGACTGTGCACGGCCTGGCGCCGGCCGCCAGAGCCAAGTGACGGGGCGCGCGGCGGGGCGGCCAGCGGGCCCGGCGCTCCAGGAGTGGTGGGCGGCGGCGGGCGGTGGTTGGTGACGGCCGGCTGGAGCCGTCTGTGGAGGAGGAGGCTTGGCTTCGCCGCCGTCGGCGGGGTGTTCTGTGTGTGGGCGTTGTGTAGCGGCGTGGTTGAGGTGCCGTGCTATTGAGTTGGGATGTCCTGCTTTATTATTGTGATGACGATTATTATCATCGCCCTCGCCCCGCTTGGGAAGGGTCGTCAGCTCCTTCGCTATTATGATTACCACGTCCATCATCGCCATCGCCCTGGTCACGTGAAATTTTCATCTGTTACATCATTATCATGATCATGAATATCGATGTCATTAGCGTCATCACTGCCCTCACGCTGGCTAGGTGAGACTCTACGCAGGATGCCACGTGGGTGCGGGGAGCCGCGGGGGCTGAGTGCCGCAGTCTTGCGCCCTGCGGGTCCCCGGCCTCCAGAGGGGCATCGGCTGGCGGCCAGCTCCGGCTCCGGCTCCGGCTCTGGCTCCGGCCGGCGGCCAGCTCCGGCTGACGGCCAGTTCCGGTTCCGGCTCCGGCTCCGGCTTTGGCTCTGGCTCCGGCTCCGGCTGGGCACGACTGGAGGGCGCGGGGCGTGGCCGGCGCCGGGGACGGGGCTGGCCAGGCGTGACGCTGACGCACGGGACACGGTCGGAACGCGCCGGCAGCGCCCAGTGAGGGGAGTCACCGAGGCGTGACGTTTTTGCCCCACTCGTCCGTGACTTGATCTCTGTTTTGCACCCGTTGTCCGGAAATAAAGCGCTGCTACCCTGACTGGTGTGGTGATATGAGGCCGGCCAGTCCTGCCCAGCCAGAGCCGTGCCTCGCTCTTCACGGAGGTCCGCTGCTGGTGTGGTGTGAGGCCGGCCAGTCCTGCCCAGCCAGAGCTGTGCCTCGCGCTTCACGGAGGTCCGCTGCGTGAGGAGCGCTCCAGCGCGGAGGACGCGCGGACAGGGCTGCGGAATCTCGTGGCACAGTGGCAGATGAATGTGCTGGCCGAACGCAAGCGCTGCCGGCAAGGCGGGGAATGACCAGACAATGACCGCCCCGACAAGGTGAGTGGGGAGGGCCAGACAATGACCACCCCGGACAGGGTGGCCGGGAAGGACCAGGCAATGACAACCCGGGACAAGATGGGTGTGTAGGACCGGACATTGACCCCCCCCCCCCCCCCCCCGACAAGGCGGTTGGGGTGGACCGGACTAGGTGGACCCCTTGCGACGGGTGCACCGGCAATCGATATTTCTCGTACGTGGAAACGTTTTAGCCTGCTGCAAGAACACACAGAGGCTACGTCCACCACAGCTATGCAAAGCCCCTCAACCGCAAACGCAGGGAGGGAAGCGGGGACTAGAAGTCGTCTGTACTCAGCACATAACGCCGGGCGGCAGGGCCGTTCCGCCACTCCCGCCGCTCCCGCCCTCCCGCCCACCACATCGCGTGCTGACATGCTGATGTCACGCAGCGGGGTATGAGGCGCTGCCGCCGGTGAGCGAGTCCGCTGAGCGTCGACGTGGGCAGCTGCAGCGGGCCGGTGGCCACGCGGTGACGATGGTCGCGGGCACGGCCGGCTGAAGTTGTCTGGGTTTCGCTTGGATGCACGCCATTGGGAAGCATGCTACGGCGCTGTGTGAAGTTGTACTCATGCACGCTTCTGGAGGACAGCGAGCGCAAATGGTAGCAGCATCCAGTGAAGTGTCACAAAGCAAAATAACTAGACGCTGGCAACACTGACCGTATTGAACTTATCTGGCCCTTGTGACTTGACACCCATGACATGACCCCGTGGCCTGACCCCGTGACCTGACCACCGTGACCCGATATCCTTGACATGACCCCATAACTTGACCTCCGCGACCTGGCTACCGTGACCTGACCCAATGAACTGACCCCCATAACCTGACCCAATGACCTGACCCCGGTGACCTGGCCGCGTGAACTGGACTCCATGACCTGACCCCATGACCTGATCCCCGTGACCTGACCCCCGTGACCTGGCCCCAGTGATCTGGCCCCGTGACCTGAACCCCGTGACCTGATCCCTGTGACCTGATCCCTGTGACCTGAACCTCGTGACCTGACCCCCGTGACCTGAACCCTGTGACTTGAACCCCATGACCTGACCCCCACGACCTGGCCCCAGTAATCTGGCCCCGTGACCTGAACCCCGTGACCTGATCCCCGTGACCTGAATCCTGTGACCTGAACCCCTTGGCCTGACCCCCGTTAGCCTGACCCCCCGATTTATCGATTATTATATGCGTTTTAGCGAGAGAGCAGACACCGCATGTGGTTATCTGACAGGGATTTATCACCGCACCATGCGGTGAAGATGCTCATTTCTATAAAAACGTGCATGACGGAAAGGCTGATTTCAGTGATGATTCCTGCTGACAGTCGATCCAATTGTGAAACATTGCGACCACTCAGTCATTTTCGTCTGCGTTTTTTTTGTTGTTGTTGCGATTCTATACTTATGTTATGTTACATGCTATAGTATGTTATATATACTATGTTATGTTACACACGATATGTTGTGCATGTGCCACACTGTAACTCGATTTTCACAGAAGAAATACGGAGCTTTTTAACGGCACGAGTGCGCTCAGCGTTTTAAAGCACCGGTCGTCGTTTGAAACAAACGGCTTAGAATGTCAGCCCATAATTTCGGGTTATATCTGCTCCGACATTGACAAGCCCGTCTGAAAAGCGGAGCGAGCCGCTTCAGAAACAGCTCTGTACAAACCAAGAATGAGACTGAGAACAAAGCCGTAGAGAGCTGAAGCTCCGTTTTCATGAGGCAGAGGGTACTTTTTTGAGCCTCGTTGACATGCTTTAGAACACAACGCTGGTGTTATTGACGTCATAAGTAACCAAAACTTTTGGCACAAAATCTTGTTTGAGCCTGTATGACGAAAGACGGAAGCGCGTACGCAAAGTATATGGCTATGTGTATTTTAAACACGCATGTAAACACGCATGCACAAAGGGTATTTTAAACACGCATTGGTCGATCTAAAACTGTGCTAGCCGTACACATGAAAAACGCGCAGCTTTGAGTCTAATACATGCCTTTTACAATCGTTCCAGAGCCTCTCAACATGCCAAAAAGAGTCATGTCATGTCATGTCATGTCATAAGCCATGCCAGGCACCTGGCACATAGCCAGATTTTCGCACAATGGAGTAAGTGGCAATGATAATTTTGTCAGACGGATTCCACGATCCTAGCGGGGAGCCCCGGGTTTGTCATGGACTCCAGGACCGGTTTTCGGCGTTTTCAGCCCACTCGGTTTTTGCTCAGGCGCCAAATTCCAGATCAGCAATTATTTCCTAGCCTATCCAGGGGTCCAGGGGTCCTGGGGGCCAGATCTGGGGGTATGGATCCAGAAGCCTTAGATCTTACTTGTTCAGTATTGCTGCATTCCAAATTCTCGAGAGAAAAAAAACTGTCCGTAAGTTTGGACGTTCTTTAAGCGCCTCGAGCGCCCCCCCCCCCCCCCCGACTCCTCAAAGGGTAAGGAAGAAAGAGGGAGACGGCGCTACCTTCGTACCCCTTTTGTGTCATCGAATGTTTACTGTCTGCCCGCTACGTTTGCAAGCAACACATAGCTGCGTCAAGGGTTGCGAATAACGTCAGTTTTACGAAGCTGAATTTATGTAAATTTAACTATCGAAGAACGCAGTGCAGCATGCAGCTGTTGCGTAGTTTGTCGTCTACATATATTTGTTGTTTTAAAGTAATGTCTTCTTATGTGATGTTTCACATATTCGTATTTTCGTTGCCCTAATCACAAACATCTTAAAAGGAGAGTTCTGCATTCGTGTGGGGTTTTGAATTGAAGCAGCCATCTTGAAGATCATTTGGAGCAGTTCATAGCCCTGTCTGTCTTAAGACCTAAAACCCTCTTACTTCTGAACTTCACGCCCACATACTATTTTCTTGCAGAATATCTCGGGGAGACTATTTCGAGATCACCCAGGCATCTGCGTCGCGATAATAACGCTATTCAGATCTTGCCACCCCATTAACCATGTCACGACCAAGATCAATGCAAGACCATCGTCGAGTCGTTCATATCTGGCGTTTGTGAGTACGATATGCAGATATAGCGGATGTCAATTAACTCTCAACCAGTGTTATGCGGGTTGTGCAGATTTCTTCACGTTTTGTGCTACAAAATGCCAGAGGTTGAACACAGGTGCAAGTTAATACAAGGATAGACTTGTAATCGAATAACTTGAGAATAGCGCCATAACCGAGTGTGTGAACACAAGTAACACCTTAAGCTCACGGATGAATATACAAGAATACCACCAAAAAGGGCCAAACACGAGCGCATTACGATATTTGGTTCAGCAAACACACCCAGTACCGCTACGGCCACCTTTCGGGAGATTGAAGTACTTCAAGTGAATGCCTGCTAGGGTGGCAATTTCGCACGGCCAGTTCGGTAACACCTTAAAAGTCATACATACGTTCCACGAAGCAATAAAACAATAATGTGTTGAGGAGGATAGTTACTGAAAAGAAAAATGTTGTCTAGAGCAATCTTTTCCACTTAAAGTATAGCAATAGTCACAGGTAAGCTTATTTCATCATATCTGATGCTTGCCTGAATATCATAAAATGTGGACCATTCACTTGAAGGCAATTATTTTCCAAGAATTCGCGACGAACATGCCGCAAAATATTGGTTCGCATGGTCTACGCTACGTACTCAACTTGATAATATTCGCTTATATGTATGCCATTCATGCCTCGTTCCCCATCTCTGCAAAGCGCAATTACCGATTTTTCAACACATAAGCTCTTGAGTGCATTTGCGAGGAACATTGTGCAAGGATGCGACAGTAGTAATAGCCTGATTCCTCGTAGAAAAACCAGGAGAATGAAGAGATGGATGCGTGGATGCTTCGGCAACACGCCTTTCCCAAAACTGGTATAATATAATTACTGGTAATTGTTTCGGTCAGGCATGCTACCGAAAAATCAACACATCTATCTTTCCATTCTCCTGATTTTGCTACGAGGAATGAGGCTTTTGGCACTGACTTTTTAACGCCGTGGTGAAAGTGCCTACCATATCATTATCAAGTGCCAACGAAAGAAAACGAGCAGGCATTGTAAAATTTGTGTACCTTCATTCCTGTGCACTTCGTTCAGTTCATAAGTCAGGCGAAACTTTTTATTTTAGTGTGTTGCATTATGTAAAGGAAGTAAATTGACGTAGAGATCATGAGGAAGAAAAGCCCCCGTGTAGAAACTACGTTGGTGGCCGCGGTTTTCATTTTGTGCGTGTTTTATCCAACCGATGGGGCACCCGAGGATCTACCAAACAGCTTAAAGGACTTCAATGAAATGTGGGCGGCGGTGAAAAAGGGCAAGACGTATGGTTCCCAAATACCATATGCCGATATAAAACCTTACATGGATCTTACTATTCCAGACATTTGTCCAATGTACGATGATGGTGTGAAATCATTTGTGTATAGATACTATGTTGATGTAAATCTTGCAGTTTACAAGAAGTATTTATTTCAGCAAGTAATCGATGAGTGGTTTTTGCACGTTCCATGTTACAACATGAAGGATCTGGCACTGGACAAGCCCATCAAATGTCCTCCCGACGACCCAAGTCTGACCAAAGGAACCAACGGCATAAACTTCAAGGGATCAACATGCATCACCGACCAGTTTGGTTGCGCGATGATCTACAACGAGGAGTACAAGATGAACGTCATCTCGATGGACGACCTCCGGAGCTGCGGTCCGGGCAAAATCCACGCGTTCGTGGCGCGGTCGCTGGGCGCGCGCAGCCCGATCCAGGAGCCGGACCGCAACGAGCACGTCACCGTCAACTTCGAAAACGTCGAGATCGGCCTCTCGGAGCGCTACTTCGAGAGCGACCAGTGGCGCGACGAGTACCCCGTGCTGCTCGAGGACCTCGACCACTGCCGCAAGACCTCGGAGGAGGTGTACCAGATGAAGACGGCCACCTTCAGCACGGGCATCTTCGACTACGGCTCGGTGCTGGTGCCGGAGACGTTCCAGTACTCGAACCCGCTCGATCCGCGTCCGGTGACTGTCACCAAGGAGATCTACGAGCAGGTGCGGCTGGACCGCTCCAAGTACGGCAGCGACTTCCGCCTGCAGCTGACGGGCAACGACCTCTACCGCATGCGGCTCTTCTTCACCTTGCGGCTCCAATGCCAAGTGCTTCAAGAAGGACGGCGTCTGCAAGAACATGGGCTTCATCGCGTCAAGCCCGCTGATCGACCTGAACAACCGACCGGAGGACCCGGTGAGCTGCGAGTGCTTCTGCCCGTACTCCGACCTGAAGGGTCAGTTCTGCGAGGACAACACCTTCATGAAGTACAAGTACCTCAACACGAAGGCCTCGTGCTTCGGCTTCATCACCAAGAGCGGCGACGTGCACGTGGAGAAGCTGCGCGGTCAGCTGCACCAGCAGCGCGGGCGCAACGTGCTGGCTCCGATGGGCGCCGGCTCCTACATCTACAAGGAGCGCGAGATATTCTCTGACAAGGCGAGTGGGGGCGCTGTGCCTCGAGCTGGAGCGAGCCTTTGGCCGCATCCAGGGTGCTGGTTAGGTCTGGAGTGGTGGTGGCAGTGAGGGCTTCGTCGGCGTCTTCATATTTGGGCTTTGTGACGCACTCAGCTGCTGAGGTTGTGTGGCGTCGCCTGTCACTCACCCTGGCAGTGCAGGCATGCACCGCGGAGAACCGAACGCAATACCCCTGGTTTCCCAGACGCGCAACTTAACCACTATGCTATCGGCGCCCCAGTGAGTGCTTTGCTGGCGCGGCACTGGCGTTAACGTAACTGGCCTGGAAAACAACAAGATGCACTTTGGGTTATGATAGCGAACCCATAGGCTCACTTTATTCTTCTGCCTCCCGATGGCCATTGGTCTGTGTTTGCTACCACTCCGGTTTTTTCCCACAATTCACCTACACATAACCGGACTATCGCGGTTAAAAGGACAGGCGCGGTAGCAGTCACAACAGCCTTCATCAAAGCTGACATATTTTTGACATGTTAGTTTTATCTTCGCAATGTACTGGCCCCGTCCGCTTTACCACGGCGACTTTTTCACCCTTCTCCATCTGTGAAGTTGTGCATCCACATATACGTGACTATAACTCCAACCGTAACCCATTCATTATGCAGGTGTGGCTCAATGTGTTGCTTAATGTCCAGTGCGACAAAGAGCGAAGGCTTGTGTAACGAGACGTAGTCGCGGTGTTTTTGCTCAAGCTGCACAACGGAGCAGGTCAATAGCAGGCAACGTAGTCGAAATTCAAGCCGTCGGTGGCCCCAAGACGTAAGTAACACGTCAGTGCCTGATGTCTCGCACGTCTCTCTTTTGGTAAACCGTTTGATGGCGTTATCTAGCCTCATCGGCCTATCTATAGGCTTTTTGTCTAGTTTGCATTGCCGTTGCTTGGGCAAGACGCGATCTGGTATCTGGGGTCCCGTGACGCATATCCGACTATGACATATGAGCTAATGCTGGGCATCGACAACGGCTCTTTCCCACGACAGCTTCTGCCGGCTCTACCACGGGCGCAGCCGACTAGGGGGGGGGGGATGATTTCCATTAAGTCCCGCATTTTTCCTTTTTCACCATTGGTGGCTCCCGACAAAACGCTAAAAAGCGGCGCGGTGCTTGCTCACGGAGAAAGCACCCCTGGCGCCTAGGAAACCTTGGCTGATCTGGCACGTTGCCGAGCGTCTCTATCACCAGCTGCGTTATCAGGCCTCTGGACGCGAAATGTGGTCGACCTGACCGCGACGTGAGCTCGAAAAAACGTACAGCAGCCGTCACCCGTGATAGGAAAACTCTTCCTTGTCTCACATAATGTGTAGGCATGTTGGCCACTCAGGCAGAGCAAGTCTACCACCATGCTCTCAGTGATTTAAAAGCAGCCTCTGACAACCTGATGACGTGCTTTGATGACCCCCCCGTCCCACGAGCGTTTAAGGTGCCTCTGCTGTGTCAACGGTGGCCATGACGTCACCTCTCGCCAAATGACTGACCCGTGCCACACTCGCCTTTCCCGGGGTCATCGGTGGTCATGACGTCACTTCCCACCAATGGCCGACCTTGCTCCACTCGTTCGCCCATCGCCTGTATCTGACATCACCTCTGAGTGACGTCACATCTAGCCGCCGTCGCTTGTGACTGGCCTCCCCGTCACACCCGCGTCTCTGACGTCACGCATGATCACGTCTGACGTCACGGCTGGCTCTGACGTCACGCATGGCTCTGATATCGGCAGGAGGCGAGGGCCCTGACGCAGGACCAGGACACGCTCCTGGCGTTGTTCCAGCCGCCGATCAATGTCAGGAAGACGGGAGGACTGGCGGCCGCGCCCGACGTCTGGGTCTCCAAACAGTGGTACGCCACCGCCCCGATCCCAGCTCAGGCTGGCACGCGTCATGTGCCATACGTCACACCCATCATTCGTCACGCACGCCGTACGTCATAAGTTATACGTGCCATACGGCATACACGTCATACGTCATACATCATATACGTCATACGCCATACATGTCATATGTCACACATGCCATACGTCATACATGTCATATGTCACACATGCCACACGCCATGCCACATATGCCATATGACATGCGTCACACACGCCATACGTTCCACATGGCAGACGCCACCCACGCCATATGTCACATAAGCCCTGCGTGATATATGTCATACGTCATCATACGTCACACAGTCATGCATCACACCGGCATACGTTATACAGCCAAATGTCACATATGTCATACGTCACATACGTCATATGCCACGCACGTCAAACACCACGTACATTGTCCATCACATGCGTTATACGTCACACATGTTATACGTGTAGATCAAATGTGTCATTTCACCGGAGTTTACAAGCCCGATATTGCCGCTGTTCGCAAGGACAATAACTGCGATTGCTGCTTATTAAACCGTATTTCGAGAGCCGGGGAGGGGGGTTATTTTGATTCGCAACACTGGAGGGGGAATGGAGGTGCATACACCGTTCTCACCATTTAATCTCAAATTAAGTTTGAGCCGGGAAGCAATCACCGATGAATGGCCTGGTGTCTAAGGATTCAACTATGCCCGTTAACTTCGGTAACCTCAACTGCTGACCCGGCAAGTAAGGCCATCCCTAATGTGCTGGCACATTGAGTAACAACCAAAACTTTCAGTTATATAGCATAACACTTTTCCAACCAAATAGGCATAAAACGTGTTGAAAATCGGAATCAGAGCAAGAAGGCGTGAACCTAAGCAAGGGTCAAATACATTATTCACGTGTGATTAATATCGGTTAAAATTGCAAGGGCCACTACCACGTCAAAAGTAACCTGCATGGCGACAGGCCGCCATTATTTACCCATTTCGTGCTCAAAGATGTCCTTTACTGGCTTTGGAATGCGAACAACTGGTATGCGGCGCAAAAATGTTCTGCAAGCGCTAAAAAATCGGCGCTGTGGCCAAGTGACCTGATACGACCTGAAGCAAATTTTTTTTTTCAAAACATGACCAATGAATGCATCATCAGCTACGTTACGTTTAGCAGGGATGTCTCTTAGCTTTATTTCTGTCGTCTCAGAAGCATCGATCAGTGATATGGCCGAAATGCCGATCGGTGGGTAGATTGATAGGTAGCGTTTCTTCGCGCCCGGGTGCGGGGGGGGGGGGGGGTATAAACCACCAAGGATACAGCTGACCGGCGCATGTAAGCAAACATAGCCGGTGGGTTCTGCACACGATCGAATCTGAAAGTGCCCGTTCCAACTGAGGCCGCAGGATGACATGAGTGTTCTCCACTCCACAGGTGCACGTTCATCTGGGCACCCCCGAGCAAGAAGAGAGCCATCGTCACCGTGAACGCGTCCCGACTTTGGCAGTCGGACGTGAGTGCTCTGATCGTTGTGTTCCGTGCCGTGCCGTGCCGTGCCGTGCCGTGCCGTGCCGTGCCGCGCCGATCCGTTCCGTTTCGCTTCTTTTGTTTTGTCCGGCTGCATTCGGCTCGGTGCCGTCCCGTCCCTTGTTTATCCGTCCCGTTTCGCTCCGTCCAGTTCTGTTCGGGTCAGCGCCCGTAATTTTTTGCTCGCCCAGGATAGTCCCAGCACTACCAGTCGGCCGCGTTATGGCTTTGACCGTTACTGGCTCATTAAGGGCAAGACGGCTCGCTTTGTCTACAACGGAGTTCTCGAACGTTCAGTGCGGTCAGAACCAGCGAAACAGGCTCGGCACAGTTTGCTGTCCAAACCCGATCATGAAGAGGCCGCGGTATGACAGTTGTGGCAGTGGCTATACTATCTTTCACGAAGCAAAATTTTGCCACTGCGAGACGCCCTTTCGGCAGCCTTGTCACACCAACTGTTCTCATCGTGCTCCGCTCGTGATTCCAACGCCTTTCTTTTTTAACAGCAAATGCAGAGCGACGACAGCTATATTCGTGATTTTTATTCGGCAGTGTCACGAGATGCGCACGGCCGACGTGTTCGCCGACGTTCACAAGCGGCGATCGTAACGTGTTGACGCGTGTTCGTCGCCGGCCGACAGGAGTTCACGCAGCAGCTGCCGGCCGTCACCAAGAGCCTGATCGACAAGAAGGGCGACTGCCAGAGGGCGCTCAAGTTCGTGCACTCCCACGGCCCGGACCAGGCCAAGCTGCGCACCAAGTGCTTCTCGGCCATCTACTTCCCGCCGGAGCGGCCCTACATGATCTGGAGCAACACGAGCGCGCTCACTGCCTACATCTACTGGGACTGGTAGGGACGGCGTGACGGCGCTCGAAGCTGGTCCTGCTCTCCCCCTTCCTCCAGCGGCGCCCCTCTCCCACCTCGTTACTTCGTTGGCCGGACGGGCCGATAGCAAGCAGTGATGCGCATGCCTCCTGCTTTGAGCCCCTCCTATGTGGGCGTTCGGGAAGTGTGGGCAGTTATCGCTGACATAGGTGCCTTTCCTTGGAATGTGGATGGTTTCCCGATGAGATGAGGTGAGAGATGCGTAAATACTTTTACAGTGTCATTATACAGTAATAATCCTTGGTTATCCCTAATGCTGGGCGTGTTTCTCAACACATAATAGTCACTTCAAATTACACGGCCTCATTTCACAGAGCGCAATTTCCAAGACAAGATTGTATACTTCCACGACCCACAGCCACAGCGTGATAAGTTAAGCGGGCCCCATTCAACCATTGAATGGGGCCCGGGCCCCATTCAATGCGCCGTCGGTTCCAGTGTCCATTCCAAGCACCGGTACGTTTCCCCAGGTACCTCTCCCAGCGGATCCCGCGGCAGCTGAAGCACGCAATGAAGCTGACCTTGACCACACGGTTCGAACTGGCTCCCGCCTACACGCTGGGCT